TATATATATATATTTATATACATATTATTTCACATTATAATATATACATTATAATGTTACTATACACATATTAATATACACATTATAATATAACACATTATAATATATACATATTATTTCACATTATTTATTATATATATATATATATTTATATACATATTATTTCACACCAAAGGAATTTTAATATATACGAGTTCGCGCAGATACAGAGTGCAATACTCCTTATTTCATGTATATTTTCAATACATGTACAATTGTTTTAACCCTTTTAGTGCCGGGCGAAAAAGAGGTGCTTATGCGAAGATAACCGGCCGATTTTACTAGGATTTGGTAAAAGGCTCATAAAAACCAAACGAAAAGCAATATTTAAAAATTATTTATTTTAATTCTCTCGTAATGAAATTAGACTATTTATAACGTATTTTAAATTTATTTTGATAGAGATCTCTCGCAATGCGAATAGTAAAGCGCTACAAGGTGCGGGCCGATATATCGGCTCTGGCACTTCTCGCCGGTGTAGCAGGAGCCGATATATCGGCTCCCGGCACTAAAAGGGTTAATACCACCATTTTATGAGGAACATGGCTTAACTACTATGTACAAATTTTTCAATACATATGAGTAGAAGAGATCGATGGACAATAAAAACGATATGTAAAAATTTAAACCGAGATTGTGTATATCTTCTTACCTGTACATGGTAATCCTTCTTATATCTCTTTCAAGTGTTAAATTTATTTCTCAACTTTTCGGTCATCGTAATTTCGATTTGGTCGAACCACTCAATTTGATTTAGCTCGCTTATATTTTGTGTGTGCAGACGAAGTATAGAGCAATTCAAATGACAACACGAAGGCATAATACAAAACGAATTTATTGACGGAACATGGAAATACGTAATCCTAAATTGTGGAAAAGATAAGCTAATGAACAATGCTACTTATTAGTTGACGGTTTGATGATTCGTTTGATTTGCTCGAGGACGTAACGTCTTTTGTAATACGTGCGCGTCCGCCGGTTCTATTCTCTTGTAATAATGTTCTTTAGTCTCGACAATTTCAAATCCAAATTTCTTATAAAAGTCAATTGCCCCTTCGTTACTTATTTGAACATGTCTGCGAACAGATATATATGCCATTACAAATTGTAATCTTTCTTCTAATCTTAGAATTGTATGTCACTATGTACAATAATTGTGAGTCAAACTTACAGGAAGATTGAGTCAAAGTTTCCATCCTTGTTAACATAGTTTAAAACATGTTGCACCATAACAGTGCCGATTCCTAATCTCCTATACGGATAGAGACAACCGAGTGTCATTATGTATAAACGCCTAGAATTTTCCGAGGTATCTACACGGCAACAAACTGCTCCAACCTGGGGAATCATAACAAATATATCATATAATATTTGCATCTTATTTCAGCTGCAACTTAATATCATCAGCGACACTGAAATTCCTTAGTTGCAACGTCATTTTTTGTATAAATAAAATATCAAAGTATATAAAATAATTATAGTAAATATCAAAGTATATTAAATAAAGTATATAAATAAAATATCATTAGTATATATTTCTTAAATAATTTTACCTATGTTGTAAAAAACTATTACTAAATTCTGTGGAAACTGATCTTTTACGTATAATACAAACACATCTTTTATGTGTAATAAAAAATACTTATTACGTGTATATTCATAGAGTTGTCTCCTTAAATTTCTATTTTTATTAATTTTAGGAAATATAATTTGAATGCCGCTGTAAGACATAAGAATCGTTGTAAATACCACTATATCATTATAATATGCTAGTTTGGCAAGTTCCCCAGCTTCCAGTACATCTTTGTAGAACTTTTCATTGTACGACACCGGGAATACAACCTGATTGAGTAATTTCAGTTGCTTTATGTTGTGAGGTGTCACATCTCCCAGCTCTATTTTAGACCTGCGATGGAAAACGCGGTTAGATTAAACGTAAAATCGCTTCTATCAATTGAAGTCTATTAATACTTCGAGACATCCAGGGGTTCGAAATGTAATTCAAAAGAGATGGCTTGAAATGGCAGTTTCATAGAGCAGACATAACCTTGAAAAGTTGCGTCGCTCACCTGGTCATCGTGCTACGCGCCGGGGAGGACTCGCGATCTCAGTAGCGAACTATTACAGAACGTTAATCGCACGCCTCTTTCTCGCGCCAAGGAATGAGGGCCATAGCGTATAAATTCCTGCAACCGTAAATGTAAGACGTAAACTAAGCCGAGAGACCAATCAGAATATTGTTTTACAAGCAAGGCTCCATTTCACGCTGTAAATGCCTCGAAACACCGTACAGACCAATCGTATTCTTTCCTTAAGCGCACGAAAGCGTTCGCAACGTAAAGCAGACGCTAGTCGTCAGCATTGGCGATAATCGACCGAAGAATCGATGACTTGACTTTTCCTTCCAAAAGAATCGATTGTTCTCTTGATTTTCTTAAATTCGATCGATCACCATGTCGATAGATTTTTCATTCATATTCACATAGCGCCGTAGCGTGAAATCTGGAGACTGCAGTCTCGTTATTGCTGTTTTCACGAGAATTCTGTAACTTCCGGTCAATCTGTTGAATTCTGTTTACTTTTGCACTACTACCTACTTGTTGAATACTTTTGTGCACTTGAAAAAGCTAACTTTAATTTTTGTCCATGTTGCAGGACTTCTTATTTCCAAATAGTCTACGAAGAGCAAATGGTTGACGAGCCATCTTTTCATACTGAGCAAAATTAAGTATAAAGGTGCATGCACGCGCGTTTATATATATTTTACCTACGTAAAAGTAATCGCTATTATTAGAGTCATCCTCTCACGAGGTTCCGGTCGCACAACGCGAGATGGCCTGCATCATGTTCGTCGCCATCTTGTACACCACATGACCTCGTTGGCGTGTCCCGTGACCAGCTCACGTGAATTTTGACAAATTCAAACGTTTTTTTTTTTTTCGTGGCGAAGAAATGGACATTTTGGGACAGCATATCGAGTCGCAGGATGCAAGGTAGCGTTCACGTTTAGTATCAGTCGTCCGATATTGCGAACACCTTATCCCTTCCGTCTTGTCCGAGGTCTCCTCAAGGTCATCACGTAGTGCCACAGTTACGCATTTAACGAGCCGTGCTAGGACCGTCACACAATAAATCATCCGAAGTAATACATCTAGTGCAGCCAGTCCGAGCTGAACATCGGTAACCTCGACACGTCTCAACACCTTATCTGTTTTGCAGCGCCGTAAAGGACGACAATGGTACGGGGATTGTTATAGAGGAAGCGGAATTCGTGGATTGCGAAGGTAAGGAGAAAGTATGAGGAAAAGAGGGAGACCTTGCGTCCTGTCATTTGTAAATTACATCACTGTTACACAATATCCGTATCGCGCTGGTAGACGGTGGAGGATCAGTTTTCACACGCATACATTTCACTTTCCCATCAGGAGAAACTGTCGGGGAGGATGACATGCGTTACCAGGAAGCCTTAGCGTACAGGGTTGTTCAAGTGAACAGCACGGCTGCTATACAGTCGGCCAACGAGATAGAACTACCAGTATCACAGCCAGGGAGCAACACTGTGCAAGTGCTAACCTCACCTCTGAACGGGCAGTTTTACATCGTCGGGAATGCCAACGATGTTTTCACCACAGCGCAGACATCTAGATCCCTAGTGCCAAGGGCGACTACGTTGCAAATAGAAACGTCGAGGAATTGCACCACTGGATTGAAGAAGGTAGGATTTTTCATCCTCCCGCAAACATATTAACATGTAATATTACAATTGCACCAAGACGTCTGTGTTTTGCTCCTAAAAGCTCAATCCTTTCCGATCTTCGTTGTATTATGCGTATCACCAGTAAGCTGGAGATTAAATCTGCCATTTCATAGAGAGACGACAGAAGGAGGGCAACGCACAACGAAGTCGAGCGTCGGCGTAGAGACAAAATAAACAATTGGATCTCGAAGTTGGGCAAGATCATACCCGAGTGCAATGTGGGCACAACTACTAACGGTAGCGGCAACAGCGGGGAGGGGAAGGCGAACTATGAGACTCAGGTGAGCGCTGATTGTGTGGCATTCCATTATTGCGTAATCACGTGTCGTTTTCACCGATAAAACGTAACACGTTGTTATCTCCCGACAGAGTAAAGGAGGCATCTTGGCGAAGGCTTGCGAGTACATAGGGGAGTTGCGTGCAACCAATCAAAATCTCAACCAGTGTCTGCGGGACAACGAGAAGCTGCGGCAGGAGATCACTGCGTTGAAGCAGCTGATAAACCAATTGAAGCACGAGAACCATCAACTCAGGTCGCAGATCACAAGCACGACCGGCAACTCTGTCGAAGTTGTACACCTGAGTCCTTAAGCTTCCTCTAATTCGTAAGACAGTTCTTTCTGTAAATACTAGGACTTGCGAGTTGTTTCTCCTCGCACGGAATACGTACACTTGATTCATCGTGCGCGTCGTTCGTTCCCCCTTATGAAAGGTAGGAAATCCGGAGAAGTGCTCGAAAAAGCGAGAGCACAAACGGGACACCGAGTGTACGTATGTATGAGTGGTCTGGACGGCGCGCTCGATTTGGGGAAGCGCCTAATTTCGATGTTGAGAGACGCGCGTGGTGCCGTGTTTGTCGAATTTTCTGTTCTCTGACGTGACTGCACTAAACTTCGCAAAATTACAGTATTCCAATTCGCTGTACAAATATCAAGTTGGGTGCTTCTAAGTGATCAAGTCATAACTGCACACAGTCACAATCTCACGTCGGCATTTGTACAAACTGTTCCCGTCACCATTGGTCGAAAGCATTACGAATTTCCATAGACCTTAGATTTTCTCTGGCGCGAAATGAATTAGCAACGAGAGGAATAACGAAGAGAACTTTGTATTGTTATGTAATTACTTTGTTGCGTAAGATACGAAATGGTTGCGATGTCTAGAAAGATTGGCAACCCTCTTTGGGGTCAGACAGTCTGTATCAATTGTACAAGAATCTAGAGTACTATAGTTATATCAATGATTATATATATTTATTAAAAGTTTTTCCAGAAATTTTTGGATATGTTTTTAATCGCGTATTGAATAAATCTAATAACATGGTAGACGATGAAATTCATGGTATCGGTAACAGCCGTGTAGTTATGACTGTTATCTGGAAGGCCTGTGAACACGGAAATGACATTCGCAAAACAGGTCAATCGTAACTGGTATACGTGGGCGAGTCAAGGCTGTGAATGTTGAAGGGTCAGCGCGTGGTCTCTTTATTTTTCTTTTTTCATTAAAAATTGAAGAGAAAAATAATTCGAGCGGTATAGTGCAGCCCGGGATTCACCTTTGAAGAAGAGCGGATTTTTGTTGACTAATTGACAGTTATGTGACTGTGGTGTGCAGAGATCGTTGAACATTTTTTATTTTTAATACTGTTTTCGTAGATGATACCTAGGACGAGTTAAGATCGAAATTGTACAATATAGATTAACTACATACTTACGAGTGTGTATTTATACATATAAACACATAGGATGTTTCATTATTAATGGCGTTCGTTTCAGAGACAGGGATTTAAAGGGATAAGGAACCGACAGAAAGATCCGCACGAAATATGCGAAATTAAACATGTCTTTTGTATTTTTCGTGCTTACAAATAATGTCACATATCGAAAGGTAATTAAGATGTGTGCCAACTTCGTTTCTGAATTCTGGATCCGTTTCTGAGATGGATGCCCGCGCCCTTATTCTGTAATTTTTAACGTATATACGTTACACTTCATCTCCGCGCGGGCGAGATATATCACGTTTAAATAGCTGTGCAACGATACGTTAACGAAAGTTTCGTTACAAGTTACAAAATAAGGGGGCTAATGAGAAGTCCCGTGTATGTGGATGGACATACACACGTGCATAGATCTGTGCGCACGTGGCAATAAAATATTTTTTTCAATGCGAGTTCGATTCTGCGGGGAAAACAAGCAAGGGAGGGAGGGAGGGAGGGAGGGAGAGAGAGAGAGAGATTCTGCGTCAGAATCAACCCACCAAACGTTAAAGACCGAAATGTAATATATCGTTGATGTACATACCGCGAGGTTATTGTTATATAATAATAATTATTATTAAAACAAAATTTATTGCGAGCGGTTTACTTTCCAAACATCCCCCGTGTCCAATCCAGACTTTGATGAGAAACGTCCTCTTGTGCATAATTTTTATTGTTTCTTTCCTTTTTTTTTTTTTACATATCATACAATGGAAATGATGTCGAAGTCAATGGAACACTGGTCATCATGCACATTAATTTTTCTTTTCCCCTCTTCTCTTCACTATCTTCGCGATACTGAAGACCCTCCTGCGCTTCGATCCGTCGCACAGATGTGTCTAAAGGTATCTTTTCGCTAAACTCTTGAATCATGCCCGTAATGTCTCGTCGTTAAAATAATAATAATAGTAATATAATAATATGCTCATTCTCGTATATGTAACGGTTGCCATTATCATCTATCGTTTTTAAATAGTATGTTACAGTGTGTTTAATACTCGACCTCTTACGAGCAAGATGCTGCCAGGTCATCCGGCGATACTGTAGCGCGTGATTATCGCGGTTGTGCGCAATATATATATAATAACCATCTAATAACCATGTTATTAGATTTATTCAGTATATATATATATATATATATATTGATCTGCGGGGCGGGATGAGACGGAGAGAAGCGTTCTCTTATACTTTCGTTTATATTACACATATACAGAGAACATCGGGAATGTGTTAATTTCCCAGCTAATACATTTGCGATTCTCTTCAACAAAGCGGAAAGAACGAACGGACGAAAGTATATCTCTGCAATTGGGGAAAAAGTTACTTTCTTTCGTATAACCGACTATAATTACAGGTGGCTCTCCTTTCGGGCCGAGCGTGGGCGCCGGCTCTCGAGGACGCGGAGCGTGCCTTTAAGAATGTCCCGCTTTATTGTCTCAATCGTCACGCACGCGTGACCTCGCTCCGTGTAGTATCTGTCTCTCTCGCGGTAATGATACATAAGAGGTACCAGAGGCTCCACTGTTGGATTGGTTTTTCTATTTACAATTCCACCTCAAGGGCGGCCACAAGAATGACATAAATTCGGCAAATAACGCGCACGGTGATCGATAACGTCGCGCTCCACGTCGGGTCGTACATTATTGGTGAGCTATAACTGTCTGATCAAATTAGGTTTAGGTATATTCGCAGATTAGACCGGGACATCCTTAAATGTTAGAGCCGAGTTTCGCTGAACAATCATATCTTAAAATTGTTTTTAACAAGTGACGCGCGGGGCATTTAGTCCTCTAAATTCCTGAACGCCTGCTGAATGTCTTCGTGCAGCTGGTCGAAGTCCGATCTGATCTTTATCTCGCCGTCTTTGACGGGATCCTGAAATTCGCACGAGGAATTGATGACAGACGCCGAAGAGCCGTCATTACGGATCGATCGTTATCATATAATATAATTGATCTTACGCCTGCACACCCACCTTGAACTTCATGGAGCTCAACTGATACAGTATGTTGCCCATGCTGTCTCTGATAACGTTCCATGTGATTTTATTGTCCGACTGCGCTGTCGACTCGACCGCGTGTCTCGCCATGTCGTAGAACGCGATCATATTCCGCAGCATTCCCACGGTTTTGTAGAAAGGACAGAAACGATCATACGGCGAGTAGCTGGAAGAGATTTGAGGATAACAAGACTTGTAAACAAAGGCCGGTAGTCGGATCTTATATTTAAAATCGTCTTAAGTTCATCTTCAGTACGGCTCACTTCATTGGCTACGAAACATCCGAAGGTAAACTTGAAGACGGTTTTAAATATAAGACCCGATTGTGAGTACCGCTCAAAATTCCCCTCTCCGGCAATAGTCAGTGGTTCACGAAACCGACGTGAAATTTGTTGGGAAGAATATCTTTCGCGCACCTGTTCTGTTGCAGGAAGTCGTCCTTCAGCAACTTGGCCACCTCGAGCGTGATTTTGTCCGTCTCGGCGAGGGAAGCCTTGCCTACCAACTGTACAATTTCCGACAGATCCTCTTCCTCCTGCAGGATCTCCTTCACTTTCGTCCTAAGCGGCACGAATTCCGGGAAGTTCTTGTCGTAAAAGTCGTCCAACGCGCGCAAGTATTTGCTGTATGATATGAGCCAATTGATAGACGGGAAGTGCTTGCGCTGAGCAAGTTTCTTGTCTAATCCCCAGAACACCTGGAAGTCATAGACGATTTTTTTCGGTTCGGTTATTACCTTACACATCATATATATATCTCGTTGATACCTGAACGATACCAAGAGTCGCGCTGGTCACGGGGTCGGAGAAGTCACCACCAGGTGGGGAGACGGCGCCTACGATACTGACAGATCCCTCGCGATCTGGATTTCCCAAACACTTCACCCTAAAAATGGAAGACCCGGCGAATTGTAAATGAACACGGTTTCTCTCTCTCTTTCCGTCCCTATCTCTTTCGTACGTTGATACAAACTCTGTCTCTACAAATCCTAACGAGATTGCAGATACTACTTGAATCGTGCACCTGCCGATATCGTGATACCTTAACAAAAAAACTCGGCCGATGCTTATCATCGGAAGATTTTCCGTACGATAACGTCGTACCTTCCGGCGCGCTCGTAAAAGCTGGCCAGACGAGCGCCGAGGTAGGCGGGGTAACCGGAATCAGCGGGCATTTCGGCCAACCGTCCAGAAATTTCTCGGAGAGCCTCGGCCCAACGCGACGTCGAGTCCGCCATCATCGACACATTGTAACCCATGTCACGGAAGTATTCGGACAATGTGATACCTGCGCGACGAACGATGGACTTACTAATCCAGCAACATCTGCGATCGCTTTCCGACGGGATGTCGTCTCGAGCGGTTTTCGAGTGATTCAACGATCTCGGCTATACCGACATACCGGTGTAGATGGAGGCTTCGCGCGCGGCCACAGGCATGTTGGATGTGTTTGCTACCAGAGCGGTACGCTTCATGATGGACTCGGTGACACCGTCGATCTCCACGGTCAGCTCAGGGAAGTCGCGCAATACCTCGGACATCTCATTACCACGCTCGCCGCAACCCACGTAGATGATCACGTCGGAATTGGAATACTTGGACAAGGCCTGCGAGATGACGGTCTTGCCGCAACCGAAGGCACCGGGAATAGCAGTGGTTCCACCTTGGACGCACCTGTAACACAGGCAGGGACACTTACAGGGCGGACGTACTGCCGTCTTGACTAAGTACGCGGCAACAGGTTCTTACGGGAAGAGAGAATCCAGGACACGTTGGCCGGTGAGTAGAGGATGATTAGCTGGCAATTTTTCAGTGACCGGACGGGGTTGACGGACTGGCCATACCTACATGCAAACACGCGAGCAGACGTGAATCACAACATGCAACACATTCAAAACTCTCTCACGTTAAATTTCGCCGACTGGATCTCGTACCTGCAACATGGTGTACTTTTGCCTCTCGCCGTCGAATTCCGTCTCAAGCACGACATCCTGCAACGATATTATATATTTGTGAAAATAATAAATAAATACATTTATTTATTGTCATAAACATAATTAATATTACAGAGTGAAAAGTATAGGATGAAAGTCTTACGTCGACAGTGTAGTTGCCGGAAGGAGCGACGTACGTGACGGTGCCTTTGCACTTGGGCGGTAGAATCATCCAATGCTTCACCAAGGTATTCTCGTGCACGACACCGTACAGATCACCACCCGTGATGTGGCTGCCGTTTTTGATATTGTGCGAGTTAAATTCCCACGTGGCAGTACGCGACAGGGCGGGCACGTTGATACCCTTTGGAATGTAGATCGAGCTTGTGAGCTCGTTGATGTCCTTGAGCGGACGTTGAATACCGTCAAAGATGCTGCCGAGAATGCCGGGGCCCAATTCGACCGACAACGGTTTCCCGGTGCGAAGCACGGGATCACCGACTGTCACGCCGCTTGTCTCCTCGTATACCTAAGAATGTTGCAGGATTATTGAAATTGCATCAGTCTAAATGGTAATAGATAAACAAGATACGGTATCATGATAGGAGGGAGCCTTAGCTCTTTATCTTTCAAAATATGGAAAGATGTGTTGCAGGATTATTACCATTGAGCATTACAGTTTACTGGAATGAGAAGTGGGAATGTTCCATTCATGGAAAAGGATACACATATATTCTGGATGTATCCTTCTCTTTGTCATAGTAGTATGTGTGACAAACATGGATATTCACGGATAGATTTCAGGCCGTACATTTCTATAGTTTACTACAAGAAAGGCTCATTCCAGTAGGCTACAGAGCTCAATGATTGTCACATACTTGTATCGTAGCCATGTCTCCTTCCAATCTGATGATTTCTCCTACTAACTCGTAATAACCGACTCGTACCAGCTCATACATAGCCGACCCAGCCATTTTTTCAGCGGTAACGACTAGAAAGAGGAGATGTTGAATTAAATAATGACAGAGTAAGCGAGGGAAATTTCAGTGAAGTAAAATAAACTCACCAGGTCCGGATACAGCATAGACGTATCCGAACTTGCCCTCTCGTTCCTCATTCGCTATCTTTAGCAAGCCTTGGTTCGTCATCTTGGACAGTTATTTTATCTGGAAACGGATGAGATTCTATTGCAACCTCTATATTTGCTGTAATGCTTTATTCCGCAAACTTGACCAAATCAGCAGACTGTCCGATACAATGACAAACACATTAATTATAGATATGTCCCTTCCAACTACAAATACTACTTTTTATCATTTTTCTACTACACAAGATATACAAAATATAAAATGTGTAACAACGCAAGAATAAAAAATAAATTAAATATATCAAACGCATGTATATATATTGTCCCGTTTCTCTTCAGCTACACTTTCTGCACCTGCCAGCGATAGTACTACTTTTCCTCGCACTTTCCGCACTCGTGACTCCGAGGTACTTGAAAATATAAAATATATAAGATACGAGGAGGAACGAGGGCACGGGGACGGGTCCGTTGACTCGGCCTTCCCGATTATCACTCGCGACGAGCGATTCCCCGCTGCTGGCGGCTGGGAGAGGCTCGCGGAAAATTTCGGCTGTCACACGCGCTCTCGGCGATTCACGTGAGCAGGCGTGTTCAAAAAAATAGGCGTAGCCCCGCGAAGTCCGCGAGCCGTCTGCTATGAGCAGGAAGGACGCAGTCGGCCAGTAGGAAACGGCGATGAATCGCGGCGAGCGTCTTTGAGCGAGCGCCGAGGGCCGCGTCCTGGCCGGGAAATCGGCCGAAATTCGTCTGTCGATCGACGAGACGATGGCGCACCGTACAAGTGGATGCGCGATCGATACTACGCGTGCCGGAGTCCGCTCGCTCGCTCGTACGAATTTCCGCGTGCTAAATCGCGAAACGTTGTATCGAGAGCCGGTTGTACGATCGAGGAAACAGGGCCTCGGATCCTGGCCGATCCGAACGGCACGATACTCACGCGTGTGCGAGATGCGACGTTTCCGAGAGAGCGCGGTCCACCCAGCGACGAGTCGAGTGTCTTCAGTGTCTCCGGCGGCCTAGCTGCTATCACAAGACAGGTCAGCTGACTGAGTCGCGTGTCGATCCGCAATTATCGGGCTGGCGCCAGCGCGTGCGCGAGATTTATGACCGGTCCGCATGAGAACTGCGACGGTGGTTCATCGTTCCGATAGATGTTCGGGCGATCGTGCGCGTACTTGGGGAAAATTTAGAGATTTTGTGAGGAAAAGCGGGTGGTATCGGTACGACCAATATTGCATAATTTTGCGCGCACGCGCAAAATAAATATTCGCTCGCTACTCGGATTTAAAGCCGTTCGGGTCGATGTAAGTTTTTTTTTTTTTGCGATGGCTGACTGTTCTTGACGAACTGGTTTGTTTAATTAGAAGTAACTGCATTTAATCAAAGTTAGTTTGAAAACATGAGAAGATGCGCAGTGTGTGTAGGTAAGCATTTATTTGTAATTTCATACTGTAGCTTGCACATATATATCTAAAATATATCATATTTTTATATGTAAGATATCGTAACATAAGGCAATAGAGTTCTATATAATTTTTTAATCATATATTATTCTCTCTATACATTATTGTGCGTATTACAACTACTTTTTAGAAATTATTAAATACTGTCCATGAAATGGTTCATGAACTAATTTACTTAACTAGAACTGCATTATTTGATCAAAATTAATCAAAAACATAATGAAATATATATATATCTAAAGTATTTATGTAAAATATATTAATTTTCATTAGAATATTATAACGTAAGGCACAACTCTATAAAATTCTTTAATCACATATTGCTCTCTCTCTATATATATATATATACTGTTGTGCGTGTTAATTTCTTTGCACGTATTATTGAATTATGCATCAAGATATCATCAAATGATCCATCCACTTTTCAAAAGCAATATAAAGGTTATCAAGTCTGTCAGATTCAAAAAGTGCAGTGATAATCATGCGTAGAATCTTGAAACCTGCAATGCTCTGCCTACGAAGGCACGTTGTTATACCCCATTGTCTCAAATTCGTCTTACAATACAACCAGATAAGTCTCATCGTCTTAAATAGAAATTCCTTTGGGCTTCTGGAAAGTCGTATTAATTTCATAGCGATACTAAATATTTTCTGCAGAAGATCTCCATCCACATTTAAAGAATGCATTTCCCTGAGCAGTGGAAGCAATTCAGACATATTTACTGGGCCGAAATCGCTAATGTTCAAATTATGTGTCGATAACAATCTATCAAGCAGACTGCACAGTTGCGCAGTACCAAGATCACTCTCATAGCTTTCCAAGTCCGACCTGTTGTCTTCATTAGAATCGGTTGGTATCCCTGTCCGTATAAGTTGCATGACAAATTCGACAGCATCCAAAAGTGCAATTCCATTAATTACCAATATACCGTTCTCAATCGTCCGTATGATTATATTGGGCTTAACATTTTCTGTCATTGGATTAATGGATGACCGATTGTCGACGACAGAAGTACTAGCGTTGGGGTCAGAAGATAACAGCTGAATACGATTCTTTATGTAACGTATCACTTCTGCATTTTCGGACATTTTGCATGAATTATTCGCGGTTGCCCGTCGCTTGATGCGATTGAATTTTTTACGGAGATTCTTGCTACGCAGAGTGTCTCTGTAGTCATCAATGATCCTATTCTGATTGCTCTCGATGATGTCTCCAGCGAATTGAATGTTCACCACAGTACCGGCAAAGAACATGAGATGCGTCGCCATGCTTACCGCGTCGAACCAACTGATTGTCTCATCTGTATTATATCTATCTACCATACAATAGCCCTGATACACGATACCGACGCCATTCAAGAACAAATTGCTACCTTGTACAGTGTTGAATGCTAATCTTGCAGCGGTATTTACCGTCATACCACGTGAAACAGCAGTAGAAATAGCTGCTGCTCCTCCTATCGCTCCTAAACCAAACACTGAGCCGGTGATTGTGAGCCACTGTGGAAATGCATCTCGATCTAAAGGATTGATGGATTCTTCGTGGGTACTTCGATCTATCAATTGCTGAGTACCCCGTGCCATTGCCCAAACGGCAGTTGTTCCGGTAGCGACGAGCCCTATGTTAATTAACAAAAATTGGCCGAATGTTATAAACATGTTCCGTTCCCGACTTATAAAATTGATGCTTAATACGCAACACACAATGTGAATTAATATTATCTAATTATAAAAGATGGTCGAATTGAAATACTTATTATTACTTGAGAATTTGGAAAATCATCCTTTGCTGTATGAATTAGAAGTTAAAAGGTGCTCTACCTGTAACAGCAACGACTGGTGCAAGAGGTGTAAATAATGACGCAACACCCAATACAGCTGCCCCGGTTCCAGTAATGGCAGAAGCAATATCTACTCCACTACAAATCTGCGATGCCAATGAACACGCAGGTGAATCCATGATCTCAAGCCAAACTGTTGAATAGTCCTCTGTGATCGGACAAGACGGATCTGGTTGGTATAAGCCGTCTTTTGGAAGAACCATAGTACATTCGAAGAGATTATTGTTTGTCTTATAATCTGCCCAATCTTTATATATTCTGCCAGTGGTATCGATATACCATATCTCGTATTCCTCATCTGTTTTTAGTAATTTTTTTGCTGCTTCTTTCTCTTTCTTCGCTTTTTTTTCTGTTCCTTTGATTTCCTTTTTCCTCCATATTTTAAAAATAGGAATAGGTATTACTACAAAACCTTTATCATCTCTCTCCTCTGTTTCATCTATTTCTTCCTTAGATTTTTTTGGTTTTGAACATACCACCACATTATAAATGATAGTAAAATAAATTGGTTCATTACAATTGGTTCCTATTGTATATTCGCATATTTTATGATATATTTTATCTATAACAGCTTTAGCTTTATCATTATAATCTACTGTATCAGTTATATCTGCATCTTCGTTTTGGTTTTCTGTGTTGTAATGAACATTACTTTCTATTGCATCTGTATTTTCGTTATTCGGTGGACCGTAACACGCATATCCGATATTCTGTTTCAAGTATTTATGTTCGTCAAATTGATATTTCATGCAGTCACAGAGATGTTCATAGAAGCATTGTTGTTGTTCAATAGCAAGACTCTTCATATCTTCCTGGAAAACAAACTACATGATTAATGATATATAATATTCATTATCAATATATAGGTATTTTAAATCTTGTAAAACTTTTAATACATTCAAATAATAATTAAAGCGATCAATAGTATGATATGATTGCTCGTAAGTAAAACAGAGTAAAACAGAGTCCGCAATAAGTCTATTAATGTTTTAGTATTATTAATGCTCTAGTATTAATATTTTAGTGTAAGGTTATATGTAATTAAAATAAAACTTACGAAATTTTGGTCTGGAACCACCTCATTGTTGACAGCCATTATGTTTGCAAAATCCCTTGAAAGACATAGAAATATTAAATTTCTTCCTTGTCAATAAAATTATACAGTGATTAATGTATATACCCACACATGTGTGTCTAAAAAGTACCTCAAAGACTCTTTATGACGCTTAATGTTTTCTGGGTATATATATATATATATATATATATATATATATATATATTGGTATATATTGGTTAAAGTGTTATTTTTTACCTTTAAATACCTACCGTGTTATTTTTTAACTTTAAATGATTTATCGTTTCTGTTATTTTAAGTTTAGTTTTGTGTTTTGTTTGATATAAAGATAACAAGTAACTGATTGTTATGTATTGATATAAAGATAACAAGTAACTGATCTTTATCGACTATGACTTGTACACAGGCACTTCCATATATTTTAAACTACTGCGACATTTACACTGTACTTGGGCGCTTCTCCTTGGATAAGATGACGTCATTGCTGACGCTTTAACCTCAACTGAATTTTGATGCTTTTCTTTTCGATACAAAAGATTTAAACATTTTCACATTAGACCTGGTTGCATCAATCTTGTCAACTATCAATTCGCCAGCCACTGCTACTCTTCTGCCTGTCATTGTTACTGTACTCTGCACTTATATATACATATGCTCTTGCCTCTATCATTCCAAAAAAACACCGGAAAAGTCATGAATAACACTTGGTAAGGTATATCGAATAATCGAATTTGAGTTATTTAGAATGAGAATACTGATAATTTTTGGTAATGTCACAAGGTATCGTTCCGAAAAGAGTGAATTATTCTAACAAGAAATAAAATCAGAAGATTTGTCTGATAATTAGCCATCTCATTTTCGATTATATAGTTCGATTGATCAGACGTGGCGTGTGCGAAAGTAGATTCGCGAGAAGTAACTCTGACGAAAAATATTCTTATTGAACCATATTGTACGCGCAACCAAATGTAAAGGTATTGCAACGGAATACTTCAACGAATAACTCGTTAATTAATTACAGAATTACTCGTACTTCTTTTTCTCTTTCGTGATAGTCCACAGACACCTGCGAGGTAACGTTCAGCGATAATCAAATATCTATTAACAACACTCGCAAACAACTACGACAGTCAGCCAAATCTGTACTGACTCGAGTACGTGCTAAAGGAAATAATGTATGGATGGCGGTAATTACCTTGATAACGTGAAATCTCCACTTGCTCGAACTTCGCATGTCGGGGATTCACCGGCTTTTTCCTGCTTTATCAGCGTTTTATTTGTTCAAGTTGCCGCTATGGAAACTAAACGGGGACGTTTCGGCAAAGCAGGAATCTTGCGAAATGCGCGCTAAAGGAAACAGCCAATGAGAGGACGAGAGTTGTAAAAGTATTGAGACTCCCATTTGAAGAGAGAAAAAAGTATAATTTTGTACCAAGTTAAAGTTTCATTTTTCATACGAGTTTGTCGAATGTGTCAATTGGCTGTTGTATAAGGAATTCTAGGGTACGTAGAAATTTCTAGGGAGAAAATATTAGGGTCCTACGACGATGAAGCTAGTAATGTTGTCACCGGTGCTTGGTAACGTCATGGCGAACACTGTTGGCTGCCCTGCTCCTTCCTCTTGATTTTTCGATCCACGAACCGGTTAATACGCGCGTTGTTTCGTGGATTCCATATAACTGTCAAAATAACGGTGACGATAACACGATCGTGATGGATACGAAGAAGCTGCAGCAGTTTATGGAGCTGGTAGGCCGGCTGAAAGTAAGTCGGAGATATTATTTTCGCGTTTATGCTCGCACTAAGTATTTTTTCGCCCTATATCATCAGCATTTATCAGCCTTATCTTCTCTATCTCTCTCTCTCTTTCTTGTTTGCACCTTCGCTCTCTCGCTCTTATGCCCTCTGCATGGAAACCGTTTCACGGTAAACCGCATATGCCAATCGCGATTATATAACGAATGTTTCTTAAACTCTTAATAATGCAATCGACTGCGAATACCGCATCCTTTAATGTGTCAACAGCATTGTCGTATTTTAAATTCTGGTATTTACAATTGTTTTCAGCTTGAAAGTCGTCATAGTTCTTAGTCTTTTGTATTTGGCATTAATGAATAGAATAAATTCAGCAGATATAGCTGAAGTTCTAAAATAATCGCAGAAGAATGGGTAAAGAAAGCAAGACAAGAAAACAGAATTTTTTAAGCAACAGAATGATAAAGACAAAAATATAAACTTATCAATTCTAACAAGCCTAAGAACTTATCTGCTTTTATCTGCTGTTTTTGAAATTTTTTATTTCTATGCATTGACTTTTATCGTGCAGAAGTATGACTTATTATATCTTGAAAAGAAATATGAAATATCTTCCTGTTATTTGTTGATAGAGATTGGTGTTATTACTCAAGAATAAGTTATTTAATGTATGTGTTTTTAGTGGTTCAATTATATTTGCCTTCAAAGAGATATTGGTCTCTAGAAATAGAAAAATAAAAGCTGTTTATATTTTTTTAATCAAAGCATCTTTCGGTTTATTCTTTACTTCTATATATCTATAATTATGAAACTTGAACCAGAACACATTATATGTACGATATATGCAGATTTTTTTTAAATTGATATATTTCCTCACCTATTTGTAATTTTATGATGTTGTATTTTGTAACTTGAACGATATCTGCTTAAAAAATGACGTAAAGTTGTAGAAAATATTTTCACGAATAAACATATATTTTGTTTAAAAATAAAACTTGACTTTTATAGAAAAAAATGAGAAGTATTTCTGAGTGCCTTTAATACTTTTACTTAAATGTTGCAGCATATGAAAAGAACAGGATGGGTGAAACGAAATATACCTGATCCTGAAACAATTGCCGGACACATGTATCGAATGGCGATGCTATCATTCCTAGTGGATGGAAAAGATAACCTAGACAAAACTAAGTAAGATTAAGTTTATCGTAATTTAAATATTTTTCACAAAGTTGTTTCTTTTATGAAATTATGTTGCTTGTGATTGTCAGAATATATTAAAACTGCAAAAATCAACATGTAATATAATTTTTTTATTTACAGAATAATGCAGATGACGCTAATTCATGACTTAGCCGAATGTATTGTAGGAGATATAACTCCTTATTGTGGTATTCCACCGGATGAGAAACACAGATTAGAAGATGAAGCTATGGAAGACATTTGTAAATTGTTGGGTGATAAAGGATCTGATATATTACATATATTTCGTGTAAGAAAATTTCTATGGCTCTTTCTTTTGTTTTTGTATCCTAAAAGTTCTATGTCTGTCTTCATTCACAGTTGTAGAAGTTTTAAATCGTTGCAAACATTTAAAAGTCTAAAAGTTTCATGAGCTCATAAGAGTAAATTCTATTCTCCAATTATGTCGAGATTCTAATTAATTTATGTGGTTAATGTAATACATGTTGATAAGAGAAAACTGCAGATTTCAATTTATCAACGTCTTACTGAATCTTTCTACATCCATCAGGAATATGAGAAACAAGAAACCCCGGAAGCGCAATACGTAAAAGATTTAGATAGACTGGACCTATTGATGCAAGCGTTCGAATATGAGAAGAGGGATAATATCTTTGGGAAATTGGAGGAGTTCTTTGTTACGACAAATGGCAAGATCAAGCATCCCTTCATCAGTAAACTCGCCAATGATATAACTTCTGAGAGACAAATTTTGCTTAATGGTTCAGACACCGCGAAATAACAAAGGTGCTGCCTTAAAGGCGTAAATCTGGAGAAGCAAGTTTCTAAGTAACTAGCTTAAATGTTATTTTAAGCTCATTCGATTGGAACGTGCAGTATTATGCTCCAGAACGATTATGACGACAGCTGTTAATTATATAGAGAACATATTTCTAGTAAATGAAATTTTGTATATTGTGATTTCACGAGATTTAGCAATTGTTTGATTAATGAAGTCATTCGAGTGATATGTTGCACAGATTTTACCTACAAAAAGGAGAGATATTTATTTATGTGTTCACTCATATATATATTTTACATTTTGACATTACTTTAAAGTTCTTCTTTTATTATTGCAGTAACGTGCGTGCATATTTCCTACGTTATTTATCGTGACTAGTGATCGTTTACCAAATATTATTCCTTAAACACTGTACAGATTACAAAAGGAAAAAAGTAATACGTGTAGACAATGTATGGACATCACACCAAACATTATTATTAATGTAGTTTTTAATATTGCCCGAACAGAGAAGTACCGCTGCCTTTATGTTTTATCAATACTTAATATCGTTGTTAGTTTTTGCGTTCTCTCTTGAAAGTGTAAGATACACTTATAATCTTTATAATTCCAGTGACCTGGCATTGTGAAATGTATACACTTTGACCTAATGTTCATAAGCGAGATAGTTCTGTCTTCATGCAGATTATTTCCTCCCTTATTATTGTAAGATATTTTAGAAGATCCTTATTAATATTTATGTTGCAGACAAATTTATTGTGTTTTTATATACAGCAAAATACCATGTATCCAATTTATTTGTCTATTATTCCATGTATCCAATTTATTTGTCTATTATTCCTATCTTAGTGAAAGTTCGTGTAAAACGAATTAAGTGACAGATACTTGCAATGTGACATTTAACTTTGAATAGATTCAATACTTTGAGAATTTTTTTCAATTCAGCATATTTGCATAATCTAACATATTAGTTATTCATATCTCCAGAATGTTTGCGTCATTTTAATGATTGTTAAATTTTTTATAATTCTCTTCAACGTTACGTGACAATACAGTTTCAGCATTATGTAGCGATTTTTAATTAACCTAAAGATTTTTATCTACACAAGAAAATAATACTTGGACGATCAAGTTGTTACGCGAAGTACGCGACGGTGCGGAGTTATGATACCGGAATCCGCTGGAAGAGTCGGCGCTAATCTTAGTAGTAACCAAATTGTCTCTATAAGGGGGGATAATGTAGTCGGGCAGGCATGTGCTATCCCAAGTCCGTATAATAGAACATAAAACGCGGTATTTTTTGTAGCGCGGTCGGAAACACGTTTAACGGTGACATCAAAACTTCTAATATTATTAAACAAGGATAGTCACAACGATTATTTAAGAGCGTTGAATCCGTTCATAAATAGATATCTTTCGTAACTGGAAATCGCAGGTTATAAAAAGGCTATAAATATTAAATATGTACATAGTGACCTTTAATGGTAATGTTGGATCTATTAAATATGTACATAGTGACCTTTAATGGTAATGTTGGATCTAAGCCAACGACACATTCTTGTTTTTATGCTGGATTGCTTGCTGGATAGAAATACTGATATAATACGTTCTGATTGGTGCGTTTCCAAAAAATGGATGAAAATATACCAATCAAAACGCAATATTTCCATCCAATAAACAATCCAGTACGAAAAAAAAGTATCGTGTGCCGCTGGCTTTAGAGAGAGAGAGAAAGAGAGTGTGTGTGCTTTGCACTATATATATATATATATATATATATATATATATATATATATATATGTATATATATAAATCTAATTCAGCAATTTAGAAATCTGTAAGATGTACTAAAACATCATCTCACAGAGAATAAAACAGGAAGCTCCACCTGTGTATTTGTATAAAAGAAAATTGTTACAGATAACAGAGGTCCTATATATTAAATTTTATCGGCATCTGTAGATTCTTGAGAAAATAGCTTGGAATACTTGATATGACTCGTCTTCTTTTCCGTGTATTAACAATTATAAAAATAAATGTTGTGTCGTGTGGTTTAATTATGTACAAGAAGAAAAAAGATGGGTCGTATATCAAGCGATTTTCTTGAGAATTCTAAGATAGTAATAAGATTTAATGCTGAACGTACAAAAAGCAAAAAAGATAAATAATATCAATCATTTTAATGGCCGCTTAAAAAAACCAATTCTACGGAGATTTATCGCATCTTAAGTCGTAGGAGATTTTACCTTTTCGTATAAATCCCTCGTCTAATGGAAGGACAACAATTATAAAAATAAATATTGTATGGTGTAATTTTTTTAATCATGTACGTTAAGAAAGAAGATGGGTCGTATATCAAGCGATTTTCTCGAGAATTCTAAGATAGTAATAAAATTTAACGCTGGACGTGCAAAAAGCGAAAAAATGTAAACAATATTAATCATTTTAAAGACCGCTTAAAAAAACCGACACCGCGGAGATTTATCGCATCTTAAATCGTGGAGGGTTCCACTTTTTCGTATAAAACCCTTGTCCAATGGAGGGACGGCTAAACATAAATAAGATCTATCGAGCCTTGCTGCTCGTGACAGTCTCTCAGTGTCCGCCGATAAGTGTGGTCGTTCGTTTGTTTCACAGGCGAATACAATTGGATCGAAGTTGAGTTGTGTACAAGGAAATACTAACACGAAACGGTACGCCGATATCGATTATGTCACGTCCGGTAAATAATAGCGACGGTTGGAATTCGCTGGCGGCGATTCGATCGAAATTCGACGCCGACGCGGACGGATTGCTAAATTACGATGAGTTCCGAGCTCTATGCGTCGAGTTGTTCGGCGTGGACGAGGTAAAAGGGCACGAGCCGATGATGCGCGAGATATTTAACCTTTTTGACACGAACGCGGACGGCGCATTGGACGAGCAGGAATTATGCAGGTAACGTGTTCGCGTGCGCGCGCGCAATATCACCTCCGTAGTAAAGACCAGGCAGATTTAAGGTGATTTCAAGGTAGAATTATGCATGTCGGGGTAATCAATTTTTATACTTTAATTTTGAATTAATTATATGATTAGATTATTAAGCATCGCTTATCCTTATAAAAAGTCAGCGATCCCTTGATGGAAATATTATGTTGAAAATTTTACTGAAATTTTCTCAATTGATTCCATCTCATTATCATTCCGTCAGTATACGCAGTTTTCGGTTAAAATAAGCGAATTTCAACAGTACTTTAACTTGTATTCGAGTACAGGTATGTTATGAACTTGATAAACAGTGAAATGAAAGTTACTGAAAATTACTGAAATGTATAATAATAAATATTTCAAAGTAAGTCATAATTTTCATTATGAACTTCAACGTAATGCCGTGAAATGTAGTGAAAATTAAAGTATAATTCTGAAAAGTAATAAATGAATTTTGGAAATATTAGATATCAAAATTTACTGAATTCAATTGAAAACTGTGTGTATTAATGGAATGGGGTCAATTGAGAGAGTATTTCAACAAAATATTTCCATCAGAGTCTTGGCGATCACATTAATCATTAGAGATACAAAAACTAAGAAAATAAAAAAATAAAAGTACTCATAAATAAATACTTCATAAATAAATAAATAATAAATATATAAATAAATAGTACAACACTGAGAACTACAAATATGAATCACTTTAAAAAATGCGAATCTAAGAGTAATAGTTAGTATGTTTTTTTAGCATTAAACATTATTATTTTCTCGGTAATAAAATCGACCGGTTATTAATTCGCGTTCGTCATAGTTTTTAATTCATGATTTGAACGATCTTCGACGATTTCTTCTTAGCTGATTCATCGAAATTCAGTTACATCGTAATGGTATCCTGTTGTTTGTCTTAGTATTCCGGTATCTAATTAATGCGACATTTGCAATATAAATTACAGTAAGATATTTATATCAAGTTTATCAGTGTACGTAAAAACTCTTTTTTTTTTACGATTAGCCGAGATGGAGAAACGCGATATTTGCACGATAGCATTAAGATTCGATTTTGTACCGAGAAAGTAATCCTCTTTCGTACGAATAACGTAGTTTTAAGGTAACTGGTTTTCTCTCACAGATGCCACGAATGGATACGCGCCACTGTAAATCCCGTGAATGTCCTGATAGTGGTCGACATGCAGAATGACTTTATTGACGGCACGTTAGCTACTCGTAATTGCGGCTACGGACAGGACGCGGTGGATGTCGTGAAGCCTATTAATCAGCTCTTGAAGCAAGGCCGTTGGGATAAGGTGATATACACTTTAGATTGGCATCCCGAGGACCATATCAGTTTCTTCGAGAACTTAGCGATGCGTGAACTTCACTCAGATAGTAAGGTATTAAGTTGGATAATTGAATGAACTCTTCATATTGTTTCTTAATAATGAATCAATATTGAAATGATATTGTTTCTAATATTGTTTCTTACATCTATCATATTATATAAGATATATAAGATATATATATATATATTATGTACATGTATAAGATATATTTTTTCATCATAATCTCGTCGTGATCTGAAACAGGTCACTAAGAAAACGGCAAAAGTTTTCGATACTGTCGTCTTCTCGCAACCTCATGTGACGCAGAAGCTTTGGCCGAAGCACTGCGTCAAGGATACTTGGGGCGCCGAATTGTACAAAAATCTTCTGATCGTGCCTTCTTCTGTGCAGGTGATACACATAAATATCACGTCAACACATACTTTTGAAAAAACCCATTATGTCCAAATGTCTAATTATGCCAAATGTCCAATTAAATCCATTACAAGTCCATTTGCACATGCTCAATATCAGTTAGTGAAAAATTGTTCGAGAAACCTTTAGAATCGACAGTTCGATTTTTGCCAATTTTTCAACTAATTAATCTTGGGTATATTCATCTCTGTGAGCGTCTTTTGTTCTTTTTCCTTTAATGTCTACGATTAGTTTCACGTGAAAAGCTTCCATACTTCAGATTCGCAAGGGTCAACATCCGGACATAGAGGAATACACGATATTCGGCAACATCAATTCCACGGGCGGCAACAAATCAGAGATTACGAAGATTTTGTCGGAAATCGGCGCCACGCATTTGTACGTTTGCGGTCTTATTTATGAAGTATGCATAAAAGAAACGAGTTTGAGCGGCCTGCAGCTGGGTTATCGGTTAGCCGTCGTCGACGATTGTTCTGGTTGTGCTTGCCCTGCTGACGCAGAGATCGCTAAGAAGACGATTATTGAGAACGGTGGCCTGTTGGCGTCCAGCGAGTGCGTCCTGTCCTTGGTGAACAAGGGCAAGCGTAGTCTGGTGATGGCGTATCACGCTGCGAAGAACATGTCTTAAAGAGAATCCCGCGCAGATGTTCGAAGGATTACTTTAATCATATCTTCCATAAATCTAATGAATTGGATGGGTATTTCATATGTGGGTTCTTTGTCTTTTTTATTTACCACAATTGAATATTACGAATATACCACAATTGTGTATTACGGTGTCGAGGGGATTTATGTCACTATTTTGTTGATTATGTTACGTGGATTTACGAGAAGTAATAAAATGCTTGAGTGCTTATAAGTACTTATGAATGCTTATGAGTGTATCCTTTTTTCATCCCTTTTATTGAATATATTGCAGCATAGACGCCGGTATTGGGTGATAATTACACAGATTTATGCGTACAATACTGAAACCTTTTAGCTTGCCAGCAAAATCGACCTTGCGACTTAAAAAATATAATCACACAAGTCACCACATGAACGTTGCAGCGGGTATTAATAACGTGTCATGCAATGTTGTTATATAACGTTGAAGTGAAAGGTTGACTGTTGATGCACGAGATACATAATACGTATGTGCTTAAATAGAGCTAGAATATGTTAAGAAAGTATCTCCGTGAGAATAATAATTTCTATTTAAATTATTTTGTCAGACAATTGTTATATAAATTAAACTACATATATGTGTATATTTACAAGTAATCCTTCGCGCGTTTGTTCCCTCCGTCGTTTCATTTCCATTCCGTCAGACAGGACTAATTGTCCTTATCGATCAGCAATCGTGCTGTTCGCTCGATCTTATTCGCCGATTCATCGTCGAGCGTCAATTCGCAGATGTATCTTTGCCTCGAGCTGCAATCCTCGCCTCTGTAGGAGTAGATTTTCGACGACACGTTGTAGGATAATTTCAAACACCTACGAGAGATTTAAGCTATAAATTAAAGTGCTTATAATATAAATATCGATCTAACGGGAGAAAAGTGGATTTAACGAAAGAACACCGGCGAGCTCGTGAATTAGTATCATTATGTGTTATTTAGTTCTTATCCACTTATCTCAGAACGTTGCAAGTATACAATTCATAACCGGTTTTCCGGTCATTTTGAAGACTCGCGAAGAATAATTGCATGTTTATATCTATCTTGCAAAATTACACGAAACTAATTTAAGGAAAAATTAATTTCATATTAAAACTCAGTTTGTATCTCTCCAAATGGACATAATCCATGTGCAGAGATGACATATATATAGAGAGAGATGTAAATCAGCAGCGCAACTTTTATATGGTAAACCTTGAAAAAAATCAAGGCGATAAGTTATCTTTGAAATTCCATTTTAATAGATAGTACAAACCTGCCATCGCCGATGACTGTTTGTTTGGTGTCTTGAACCGGTCGAGCGCTACTGGACCAGATCCACAGTAGTCCCGGATTTAATCCCCCCGTCCAGAAATGCTTTCCTTTCAGTTTAGGGTCCGACGTCAGGCCGGCGATTACATCTTGACTCTCTTCGATCGTGTTGAATTCGACCAGATGTCCGCCCATTCCACGGCAGAGGCTGGCTGACGATTTCCAGTCGAAGTCACGGTTGCTGAAGTGGTAGCAGTTTTGACCCATTCTCGTGTAATTGTCGGGACAAGGTTCTGGAAGAGCGTTAACGATAATAGACGAGTATGACATAAATCAGACGTGTTGCATTTTTTCATTGTAATTTATATATTGAAAGATCAAGAATATATGTCGTCTGAAATATTTCTCTGTTTATATTTCCTGATACTCAATTGACTTACCTTTCATTTTATTGTTGCCAGAAATAATGTAATACAACAACTCTTCCGCTCTTCTCAATCGTTTCTCCACGTGATCCAATCTGTACACCAGTTTCTCGATGGCACCTATAAATTCCCATTGAAGACTTTCAGATTCCTTTCTCTCGATACTCACGTCGTTACTATTTATAAGTCATGTTGACTATTGAAATCGATACGTGTCGCGATGGATGCAGGGCGAGATTTTTTTTTATAAAGCATACCAAGCAGATAAAGATCGGTTTCGGTAACGTCCCGCTTGTTCCCGGTGGTGATTTTGGTCGACACTGTTACCGTTTTATCACCGATCTTCATTAGACGTGCCGCACGTGAATTATTAGACTGAAGGGTAATCCAGTTTTCGAGCATCTCCGCCCAAGGACCATGATTTATTGCGACTGCCGATGAGTTCAGTCGATATGGCATACCTGATAAATCATAAACAATAAATTAACATTAATATAAAAATATAAGATTATCAAATATATAAATTTAGACACAATATAAAAATTTATACACATTCTCTTTCTTGTTTTCATGACTAAATTTTGCTGATTAAAGGTATCTTTAGTCCTTTGTCTCTTCAATATGATTTATTGTTATAATATATACACATACTAATTGTTATTTATTATGTGGTTAATTTTAAATGTATTTTATATATAAATACATGTATACTTACCGAATGCCATAGTGATAATCGCTATCAACGTAATGAGCGAAGATGACTGCATTGTTTGCTTCATCTTTATTGTAGCGATCTGTCTGTGATCTGAAAACGAGGATGAGATGTTCAAGGATATAGAATAGATCGAAAGAGGTATGTTGTTTTTCGTTCGATCCGATATTCCTGGTATCTCTGACTTTCTCCAGGAAAGTTTACGGCAGTATGTTGAAACGACAAGTATCCGGATGTAAATGAGTGTGCCGGAAAATCCCAGTGTGCACTCATGAACATGTTACATGATAGGACATCGGATGAATATGATGACATGGTATCTATCATCCTATTCCGACTGAATTTAATTTTGATAATTACAGATCTCCATAAATATTGGGCAGCGCCAAAAAGGAAAAAGAAAAATTAATTGAGATGGATTAACTTCTTATCACAGACATATACATGTATATCTTTCAAAAGAACGACGAACGTGTGGACAGAATGTTCAGAGATCATTACTTACACGTACTCTGTGTATAGCTTCTCCTCTTTTCTTTGTATCGCGAATACTCCACATCCAGCTGAATGTCACGGCCGACTGAGAAGAAGAAAAGATTCGAGTATGGTGTCGAGTCGTAGGCCAGACCTCTGTGGGTCACTTTCTCCCCTCCTTATGAGACAAGTCACTTTCTTCGGCGAGTCTACGTCCACCTCGAGATGGGATTTAATCAGTTACGGGTCGTGACGGTAGTTGTGTTTGTTGCTGCATGTTACATAGCGTCGAAGTAGTCGATGCACTTCACACAAATAAATATCACGAAACACATTTTGGGTAGAATATTATGAAAATTTGGTCATGTGCGTCTTTGCGTATGATAAGTACAATAACAGATACAGCATTTTTCGTGTTAATATATATATTGAAATTCTTATCTTGATATTATATCTCTAACGCGAGAACTATATATTTCTATTATATGAAGAGGAAGACTTGTCACTAACATCGTCGATTATTATCAATCCAAAATTACTGTTCAATTCTGTATGTAAAAACAGCGTCTGATTCGTGGGAAAAGTTGAAACATAAGAGAGACGAGCCTCTTGAAAAACGAATCTCGAGTTCCGCTCGAATAGAACGTACTCACGCGTTTACTCGTTACTGGAAATACTCGCTAAGATCGACCTACTGGCACAGTTTTCTCGGTGTACTCGAATATCAGCGCTTTTAACAAAAAACGTTCAACAAAATGTGAACACAATAACTTCATCGATCATATAATAGCAACGATTACACGACTAACTACTTTTCGATATGATTCACGCGTACTGCAATGTACTCTTGAAACATTCGTCTTTCTTATGGCGTTTATGCCGTCTGAGGTGGAACGTTCTAAAACAATGAGTTCAAGCGGCAAACATAAGAACAATGTTTCGTATGCACAAATTTCATAATAATTTCGTAATTCGTTAATTTTATTAAGGTGATAAAAAAAAAAATATACGTTATATCAGAGAGAAAATGAGATTCTCGACGTAATTAGCATATTAATAATAGTAGTAGTATTTTGGCTGGGTGAGCCAACTGAGCTTGCTCTAAAACAACACATAGATTAATTATTATTCCATTGTGCCTCCTGCTGTTTATCAAAAAATAAAAGAAGAGATCAAGCTGCATATCGGCATCATTAGGTCTAGTAGTACTCCTTATGTCGTGTAGATTCGAGGATGAAGAAAAGAAAGCGCCCAGGGACCTATATCTTTTATAAATGAATACTAGATAGTGGCATAGTATACGCTCACTGTCCTTGCCCTCTCCACAGAGTCTCTCCACAGAGGTATGCTATCTTCTGTAAGTTTCATGTTTCGGAGATGGAATTCAAGGGTTGTGTAGTCCATTAAAAGGCTAGTCCATTAAAAGGCCTATCGTTGTCCTACATCTCCGTTTACTCACAGCAAGGAGCTCCCTTGCTCGTTTGTACGAAAGCATATTAACAAAATAATAGAAAAAATTCTCTCTCTCTTTCTCTAATGTTTTTCCTCCATTTTTCACGTTTCTCTTCTCTTATATTTTTTCTACATTTAATATAAAATTCTTTCGAAACCATCGGGTTTCCCGTAGCATTTCCGTCGTTCTATTTTCAACAATTACCAATAACCACTTCCTACAATCGGAGATCGATGTCGCGGCCAGCAGCAGATCGCAAACATAATCTGTCCGAAAGATAATGCAAGTTAACGCTATGTTGCGCAGGATAACACTGGATAGCACAGATGTTCCGTGGACCGAATACGCGCGTGAGGTCGCATTGTTGTGTTGCAAATGCGCCGAAGTTCACTCGCAGAATTCCGACATTAATTTTAGAGACTTTATTTAATTAAACTGGTCGAAGAGCGCGCTTACGATCGCAATCGCTCGTCATTCACAATCGGATTCATCTCTCGCATTAACAATAATCGATCGTTAAAAGTACACGGTGAGATTGAGCCTCTCGTTGCCAGCTTGGCTGCTTCCGGTTCGCGTTTCCGCCGCGACCTCGACACTGTCTACGGTCTGGAAAAATAATGGAATCCTTTGTTCTCTCGGTTGCCGCGCTTGTCCATCGTTTGCGTTTGAAATCTCATAATTGTTCATTTTATATCTGCTTTTATTAAACAAAAAGACCACGCATCTATTTGCAAGGTAATTACCCTGTCGTCGTCGTCCCAGGACAGCTTTTTGATCCTCGGCAGAGCCGAGCCAGCAGGCCAAGCCGGCACCAGAGAATCCGGGGGATCTCCGGAATAATTGGAAGAGTCATGGGATCCCGCGTCCAGGTTAGTTCTGGCGCTCAAGTCGTTCATATTCTGCACCAGTCCGCCGATGTTGGGAATGTTCGAAGTCGCTGATAAAGCTGGCGGATTCGGGGCGGGTGCCACTTTGTGTCTGGCATACAATGGTAATTGCCTCGCCGACGCTATACCTGTAACGCGAGAAAGAAACAAAGGCATTCCAACGTCCTGATTCTCTCGTGACAGAAATGCGATTTTAAAAGAGACACGCAAATCGCTCTGCGAAAAAAGAAATGTAATCGCAGTATATTCTTATAAGGAATTAGTTATTGTTTAACAACTATCATAAATTCCCAATGAGCAGAAAATTATCGACAGAGCATTACCGCAATGATATTCAATGGTGTATAACATTTTTTAATATGTAGTTTTTAACACTGTGTAAATATTATTAGAAATAAAATTTCGACATTTCGATACTTGAAGAACATTTTCACTATGTCCGAAAGAATTATATTTATCGAGTAGTATCCTTGAAATTTTTTAAAAATATTAAGCAAAAACGTTCGAGAAAGATACACATAAAATCAAAATGTTAATCTAACGTTATTTGTTTATTGGTTTAATATTTAATATCTCGATGAATTGTTTTAAAGAAATTTACGAGAAATTATAAGAAAAGTGAAGAGTCAAGACAAAATGTATCAATAGTCGTGGAAATACTAAAAGAAACTTTGTTCATTAACATGTCGAGGTCAAATATTATAACATACTTTTTATCGTAGCGCTGTACGAGTTATCGTTGCTTTCTCCGAAGACAGGATTGTCGATATCGTTGCGATGATTCTCGGCGTTATCATCTTCGTTGCCGTCGCTTTGGCGACGTCGGTTGCGCGGGCCTTCCAAGGCATCCTGGAGAACAGTGGCACCTAGCACTTGCGGCGTCGGGCTTAGGGCTGAAGGTACCGGCGATTTCTCGCGATATCCGGTGCCCACGGAACTGACTGAATTACTGCTTTTGGGCCTTTTACTTAGAGGAGGAAAGGAGTCGACAATAAGTCATGAAATACGTCATATTTTGGATTTTTGTTCTTATTAGAAATATTCCAATATTTTCATTATGAGTACTTCGTGATGAATGATTATTAACTTTTATTAATAACTCTCTCCCTCTCTTGTATTTTAATATAATATTAATTTTAATATTGCATTTATAAAATTAATATATTACATATTAATATATAAATTTAATATTAATAATTTTAGAATTTAATAATTATTTGGGAATATTTACTTACTGCTTGTAAATGTAAAGGATGAGGATCAGTATGACGACTCCAAGGAGGCCCAAAACGGCAGCGAAGATGGCGATCAACAGCACGCTGCTTCCTAGCCAAGCGGGCGCAGCTCTCGCGGCGACCGGCAACGATCCGCCATTCGGTATGTGTACGATTATCGGGATCATACTAGACCTGGAGAAATTGCGCGCGCGCGCGCGAAAGCAAATTATGATCTGGATCGCCGGGCATGTAAACGAGGAGAAACGGATTTATCGAGATATTAAATATTAAACCAATAAACAAGGAATACCTGGGCGGATTTCCAGTGTCAGATGCCACCGCTACCAATCGAGCCAAAGATCCGTTGAAAGGACCCAGCGATCTTAGTACCAATTCTCCGTTATCTCGAACTTCGAAGGACCTGAGAGAGTCATGCTCGTAATTAAGATTGAACTTGTCGTGTCATCCTGTCTAATCTCCGTCAGTTAGACATGATGTGTAATTCATACCTCGCGTCCGGTCCTCTGAGGGATAAGCTGACTTTGTCGTCTTTGTCGGGATCGGCCACTTCCACTTTCCCTGCAAAAATCACGCGTTTTTCGTCAATATCGAACGACGGAGATCAGGTTAATCTTGAATTCAAGAGAATATTTACCGACGACGGCGCCTTCTGCCACGGAACGGGCGTGGAATTCATATCGAGGATGTCGGAATCGAGGCTCCCACTCATTCACGTTTTCGACCGAAATGTTCACACGTGACGAGTCATTCTGAAAGAAATTAAGCATTTTTGCATAATTATAAATTTCTTAAACATGAACTCTCTTACATGCAATTAAAATATTTGCATATTTTCTATTTGCGTCTTTCGTTTCAAATATTACCAACAATTACAAAATCTCTCTAGATATGTCAATTGTCTAGCCTACTGTACAAAAAGAATATATATTTCCTGTATAAGTAAGTAAATAAATAAATAAATAAATAAATAAATAAATAAATTAATTAATTAATATACTCGAATGAAAAATATACGTACGTAATATCCGTCGGTGACGTAAACCAGAAAACTATGCTGGACACGGTGCTCGTAATCCAGTCCGCCAATAAGAATTAACTCGCCGGAGTTGGTGATGTTGAATCGCTGGAGGTCCTCCATTGCGCCCCTCAGCCAGAATTTCAAGTTCTAGGATCAAAGGCTGTACTACGCTGCCAGATCGCAATTAATTCGCCGCAACAGTTTTTTCACTACTTACAGGATCGGGATTATTGACTCTCGTCGTAAGAAGGACGCTCCCAGACGGCGTGTTCTCCGGCACTCTCGTGTTATGATCCGGCAGTATGAATTTCACAGGTGATCGATTATCTAGCATCCGTAAAGGTAAATGGATTTGATTCTAATTTAATATCCGACGCAAGACAACTTTCAAGTCTCAACGATAGTTTTCATTCTTTCACATGCGTAATGACGTACGTTTGATTTAAATCTCGGCAATGACGATAAAAACAATTAATATACGAAATGATTAATAAAATAATTGACACAATTAATATATGAAATAATATCAAACAGATATTTACCTTCTCGCGATATAGAGACTGTGGCGAGGGCATACCTATCGGGATTATCCACTTGGATAGCCTATTTAACGAGCAATTAAACAGAACAGTTATTATACTTTTCATATCTACCAGGGGGATTGGATTTAGAAGAACTTTTAGAGAAACTAATGAATTAGTTTATTAATTGAATTAATATATTGATTAGTATATTTTACGCTACCTTCATTATAACAGTCGCCGGTGTTGTTAGCTCGTTATCGAGTAGCGATCGCGTCATAACAAATTCAGCAGTTTTGACGTTGAGCTCTAGGAAAGGAGGAAGCTCACCTCGAATCGTGTATCTGACAGGCGCGTTTATACCGACATCTTGATCGACGGCCTTTATCTTGTTGGGAAGCACTCTCAGCGGTTTTGCCTGTATATTAATATATTTGATTATTCCCATGAAATTATTATTGCTGGTCAGATATCAGATCCTTGCATTTTTTATATAAATCTGGCATTAACAATACGTCATATAATATTTATAATTGTTCGATATATCTTTAATAACGAGTTTTTAAAATTTATATTTATATTTCATTTTGGGTAAGGTCGAACCTGACCGAAGGCAATTTTCCAAAGGAAATACATCGCGATCTTACATCTTTCATACGACGGGGTACGAGGACCTTGTATTGTTCGTTCAAGAAAATTGGATTCTGATCGTCGGCGTCGATAACGTTGACATATAATGTTGTCGTCGAAAACCGAGGCGGATTACCTTGGTCCTGTGGAAACAAGATTAATCAAAATTTCGTTCTCAAAATACAAAAATATAATATTATTGCAAGGCAATATAACGTGCGATGAAATTATATCGCGGCGTAGAAAAGACGTTTTCGGTTTCTCACTGTTGGCGCAAAGCGTGAGAAGTAGAAGGAGAAAGCATTGTCCTATTAAGATTCTTTACGATCGTCGCTCGTTCGCGGTCTTGCGTGACGATACGCATCGATCATTCGAATCAATTTATCCGAATCCGTTGCGATCTATTTACCGCACTTTGCGAACATTAAATTCCGTTTATTGTTCCGCTGTAGAAATCTCGACGGTCGCGAATTGCACGAGAAATGCTATTCGGGAATATCACCAGTCCCATCGGGCCGGAGATCTCTAGATTACAGTTCCGATGTCTCATTTTTTTTTTTTAAATAACACAGGTGTGAGCACTTACTTGAGCGCGAATGCCCACGGAGAAAGAAGTGAGATTCTCGTAATTCAGCGATTTATTCAGGGCAAGGGTACCTTCCAGGGCATTCACGAAGTAAAAGTAGTCCTTTGCAAACAAAAAAAGATATCGTGGGGTGAACAAATAGATAAGATAATTAACTAGGGAGATGACAATTAAACTAGTTTAATTGTTCGAACGTTTGCAAAATTTACCGAATGTGGTCCTGGAAGCACTGAATACTGCACCGTGGAAAACGGCCCCGGCTGGTCGGCATCCACAGCTCGAACTCCTTGTAGAACTCTCGTGCCATTGACGGTAACCTAATTGGGATAATTAAATGATTGGTTATCCATTTCGATGTCAAAATTATAAAGAAACGCGAGAGAAACGACGATAAGATGTCAAAATACTGAGTTCTGTTATCCATACAGCACAGACCTCCAAGGGACATTCTAAAGACATCCAGAGGATGTCTTGTGTCTTAAAGATGTCCCTTGGAAACCTGTGTTGCATATGTAAGTTATTTCGGATCTTCCGATGGAGAATTGGAAATTATCGATTACACAACTCGATGAAAAACTGTCCTTACCTCGGAAATATTCAGCACGTAAGGCGCATTGATGAATTGCGGCGAGTTATCATTCGCGTCGATCACGCGAATGTTCACTGGTATGCTGATTTCCTTTAAACGTCAACGAAAACGAAATATTATTTTCTCTAAATAATACTATTTTTTCCTATTAAACAATACGGTTTATTCTAGTGGGACATTTTCATTCAAATAAAATGATATTTGATATTTAATTAATTAAATTCAAACAAACGAGTATACTAAATCTAAAGAAAACTTTTTCCCTGTGTGAAAAAATGTATGTAACAATACGTCTATTTTGGAAGTTTTCCGAGCTAAGATTGGATTATTTTTTTTAGATCTAGAGGAATAATCCAGTCTCGGCGCAGAAAACGTTCTGCTGAGCGCAGCCAATGTAATCCCATTGAGAGACAATCTCACCGGGTCTAAAGTATGCTTCCTGTTACAGATGACACTAATGATGACACTAGCTGGTCCCTCGATACCTTCCTTGTCGAGCGGCTTGATGAGCGTCAAGTTCTTCGAGTACGGCGAGATTGCGACGGGGACATCCTTGTCCTTCACCTCCAAGCTCAGCACGATGTCACCGTGTAAGCTCGGATCACCTAGCACCCCGAGGACCCCGATAGTGTCGCCTACGGGCAGATCCTCGCTGACGAAGAGATGCGCCGCGGTAGCTCCGTTTTCCAGGAAGCATCGTGCGTCTCGAATTACTGGGGAAGATATTTAATTTTTCTTACCGATATCTCGATCTACTTGCGAGAATTAATGGCAAACATTTATTTTCAAACAAAACTAATTAGCACAATTATATTAATATTCACATACAATATTTCTATAAATATTTCATAAAATTATTTCTATTTCAGTTATTAAAACCGTCATCCACATATTTTGGGTGATGTGGCAGAATTAATTCGCGGAGAATTAATTCGCGGAGCTACTCATTTGATTTTCCTCCTCGGAAACTGAAGACCGAGCGCGTTAACGAATGACGCAAGATTCGTAAAACGTTCAACGGCGTTAGAACCCTGCACTCTGGGGTTTCAAGCTCAGAGCGATATATACGAGGAAATAGCGAGGAGATAGCTCCCCCCTCTATCCTGGCTAGTAACAGTAGATGATGATTATTTTGCACGTACGCACTCGGATAACGCTATTAGTACCCACTTACTCATGATACCGTCCAGTTATTAATTGCGGCTGCTTTAACGACTCCGAACGATCCCACACAAATACGCGCATTCCAGGAGCGCTGCGTCGTAAGGCAATTAGATTTACCGTAAGTTTAACGTAACTTCGTAACCTAGAGCGTGGCGGTAAAGCGTGCGCGAATCGCGAGAACGATTCTGCAAATTACTCGAGAGGCGGGTAGGAACGGATTCGTCTTAGCGCGCGAAATATCCCATCGCGTCCGCGTTTCGCAGAATTGAGAATAAAACTAGCAACCAGCTCCGTTCTGCCTTCCCGTGATGGGTTTAACACGTTGAGTGACCCGGGGGTAATCGCCACTGTGATATTACCGTCTTGTTAAGGCTTCTGTTTCTTTGCCACGGGAAGGTTGCATGTCACGTTAACTTTACAATTATTTATCGATTGTTGGAGCAAAAGGGAAAATATTCGGAATATTTTATAAATTGATCGATCGATCACAAGTGTCACGTTTATCGACATATCTTTTCATTTCAACGCCTTTCGCAAGAATTTTGGGCATGCGTTTTCTCGCTTCATCAAACAAGACGACTGCAGCGCGGGATCTCAGCAGACCTACTCTGTAACTTTTAACGACAGTGTCATCAATCGTTACGTTGCTTTTCTGTCATATATTATATCTGTCATCAATCGTTACGTAGCTTTTCTGTCATATATTATATCTGCGCAACGTGCAATATAACGATAATAACACTGTCGTTAAAAGTTACAGAATAGGTCCAGCATTCTGTAATTTTTAACGATAATTATCGTTACATCATCGTTGCGCAGCTTTCCTATGATATGTTACATCTGCGCAATAACGTAACGACACTTAAACGTACCGTCATTAAAAGTTGTAGAATAAAGCCTACCTACAGAAGCCTCTTAAGGAGTTGCGTATAACATTTAATTAATTGTATCAAAATGGTCGATAAAGAGCTAATAAGACGAGATAAAAAAAAATATATATCCTGAATTATATTTATTTATTATACCTTCGATGATTGAATCATCAGTCAGACGTTCGCACGATCACTGAAAATCAGCGGGGCACTCAACATGTTAAACGAAAGCCCGTCGAATCACAGTGCCACGTCATCTCTCAGTAACTGCTCGTTATTTCCGGTTGATCGACGGGAATTCGGATGCTAGAAGGACACATATCGGAGGCGTATACGAGAATACGCGTGGGCTGTTTAGCGCGTATGCGAGAGGGTAGATATGCGCGCTTCCCTGGAGCGGAGTTCCGGTCCCGGAACCCGAATGGCGTATCGTCCGCGCAACGTTACCGCGTCTTTCGCAAACCTCTTTTCTAGCATAGGCGAACACCTCGCTGGTAAAAGCACGTCGTTCGATCGTGCGCGAAAACACCGGCAAATGCTCGACATGAACACTGCGCAAATGCAACGTTCGTGTGCTGCTCATCGTCATCATCGTCGTCATCATGATCTTCATTCGGAGTTAGACGTTTACGCGTAAAATATAATAGTCTACCTAGTAGATAACGTCAACTATGTGTAATGGGTCATCTATGCAAACCATCTATCTTATAGTTTAAGCTAATTTAGACTAATAATTATCCTTTTTCTTTGCACTATATCATTTATAATATTTTACATAGTTTACATTGTCTATATGAAAAAGTTCGTGTAAACATCGCATAGACGATATATAAATTAACTATGTAGACGTAATCTTAAAAACTATGGCACAACCCTGATCTTAATCTTCCTTATCTTCTCCTTTATAAACATGCGAGATGCAGCGATGGAGAGGAGCACGTGGTGCGGGCGGACTTACTTTGGCCGAGGAGCGGCTGCAGCATGCAACAGAGGAGCGGCAAGATCCTCAATACGTTTCGCCCCATGGCAATTCAAGATCATCGTCCATCGATCCCGTCGGCCGATGCATCTGCAAAAGGAGAGTGAAGAGTCGGTAAATACTCGGGGGGAAAAGCAGCGGGCAACGGCGGATGAATGCCGGGGACGTCACGTTTGCGCAATCGAGTCTCCTTCAGTCCTTCAGACTGGCGGGTCTTGGGAACGAAGTTTCCCAGAAAAAGATACTTCGATCCATAGTGTCCGCGATGATAAAATTGTCTGCCTTCGACACGTGCTATCCCCAGCTTGGCGGAGTCATCGTTCCTGGCGGGGTTTTTATCGCTCTTCCGCGGAAGCAACGTCTCGTTTCCACGTGAAAGATTTTTCGTGAGATTTTGTGAACTTGGCGCGAACTTCCGCCAAGATTGGCTGAGAGGAATTCTTTTTTTTCACAAAGTCGATCGTTATCTCGTCACACGAGAGATATCTACTCGGGAATCGTCTTCGGTCGGATCCGGTCGTGGCGGGATAGGCCTCGATGTCAAATAAGCTATATTATTAAGCAGCAATTTCGTCGGGTAACGTGCAATCGAGTTTGTCGTCGGCTTAACGGGCAGGTGTAAGAATATAAGCGGTGGGCATCCTCGGCCGAAACGTGTTTGCAACACAAGCATAACGCGTGGTTAGAAAGCATGCAGAGAAACTCCTTTATTACGTGGAACTATGGCTATGTGGGACTACACGTCATCGGGACTAAAAGGACTTATCACCGGAGACAACTTTTAGCACCTTGCGATCTCCTCTTAAGCACACGGTGTATCGTCTCTATCCGTCTGTCTGTCCTGCTCGTGTGACGTCAAGTCGGGAACTCGGTAATCATTTTTGACCAGTCTAAAGCACTGAGAGATCATATCGCATTCTCGTTTCTTACGATCGAATGAAAGAACGGAAGCGGGCTTCTTCAGGCCGGTTAATGCGAGAAAGCGCGACGGATCAACGTTCGCTTTTGCGTTTACCGTTCGTGTTTGACGGTAAACGCGCGTTGACTGCGTCGGTGATTTTTTTTCTAATTGTTAAGAATAAAATTTGTAAAACTCTGAAAGTCGCATTTGGTATAATATTCAGATTCGATGTAAAATTTTCGTGTTAAGCTTCTTATCTTGCTTTGTTAGATTTAATTTTTAACGCAAAATTTTTTAATATAAAATTTTTAATTTTCATGGGAGAATATAAATCTCTAATCACTAATTATTATTTTGAGTAAAATATTAACTTTTGTTATGATATATCGACATCTGTAATAACGTATTTATTAAAAAAGATCTCTAATAGTAAATTCAATTCACTTCTTTCTGAAATTACTCAATGGAATTTGAAATTGATATTCAATTCAATTCAATGAAAATTCCTTGTACATCCGAAATATTGCGTGAACGTTGGTGCGTAAAAAATTTGCATATCCATTGATCGAGACGCACTCCGTGGGAAGTTCTCAGCATCACGCGACGGAAGTGATCGAAGGGGGAAATCCAGACACCGCACAAAGAAACTGGATTCGTGCAGAAAAGATCAGCCGGATGCTTCGGTTATGTGGGGCGCGGTACTGCTTAAATTCACGGACCGTAAATTGAAACGCAACGCAATGGGCAACCGGCGTAAAAGCCTTCGGCCTCGGTTCTGCAGCAGATAACTGTATAAAAAATATCGTCGGTGCAGCGTACGTCCGGTATCGACAGTCTCGGTCGCTCGAGTCCCGATTTAAGCGTACGTGCTTCGTTAAATTCAAACGATCATACGAGATTGACGTTTACAAAGAGATAAAATCGCGAGGTCAATGATGCAGTAACGATATTTACCACAAAATACGTTCGGCAGAAGCGCGTCGTCCATATATGTATATATATATATATATATATACGATCTCGTTGCGCGGGAAGACTGAAGATTCCTCTCGGCAGCCTCACTTTCTCAATCGGCACGCCGAATCCTACGGTTAATCCTCTCTCGATCTGCCACGCATTCGATTAGTCAGCGTCGTTTGCGACGAAAAGCACAAAGGGCCTGGACGAATCACATACATACACACGCACACACCCGGAGAGTCCTTATCGATCCGTGCAGCTGGTCCCTCTTCTAACTCACACTTGCCTTCACTCTCGTGACAGAGGTAAGCACGAAATCTGTAAGTTTAATAACGCCACTGGTATGTACGCATTCGTAAAACTTTCCCCCTGATTAAATCACAACTCGAGAAGCTCACTTTGGAAATTGATTCTTTCGTCGTTCTTCGGCCGGACGGTACACACACTGTGCGCACGATGCACTTCGTACTTCGCGCACCACCTGCGATCGACCTGGATCTATCTCACGTCAAACTCGACCACGACCGCGCTGTAGGGCTGTGGAACTCTTTACTACAAAACGGAGCTGTCGGGCAAAGCGTCGAAGCGGCACTCGGGAAGTCGGCTCCTCATTGTCGGGAAGAGGGGACCGCGGTGACCAACAGAAACGTCTACCCGAACCGCGCCGCGAACAGGTGTTTGCTTTCATACACGGGGGGAAACGGACACGGTCGTACATGCGTGTATACTCGAACGAATGAACGCACGCGTAACTGACCCCTATCCCCGGAGCCCTTCGAGGACTGCGACGACCTTACCGGAGCATGGGAGTGTGAGTTTCCGGTCTTCGAGAAGTTCCCTCAAAAGAAGTTTCTTGAAATAAAAATGGGAAGATTTTAAGAAATCAAAAGGTGCTCGAAAAAACGTAAATTGAAACGTTAACTGAAATTCGTTAAACGCAGTTTTGTTCAACAGAATCCAGCAGTATTTTACGAGTAACAATCCCATTAAAATCCCCTGATCCGGCATAACATTACGATACCCTTCATTCAACTTCTCCAACTTCTTAATAACCTAACGAGTACGAAATCGTTCGGCAAAATGAGAGCTGGTGATTGTTCGCCGAGCGAAATGTCGTACATTTGCGTCAACATTTACGCAAGCAAGCAATTTTTTCGATAATGTGCCTAGCCGAACATCTCGTTGTGCCTAACAGTTCGTGATATTTGACGTTGTGAGAAATGGACGGCAAGTGGCACGAGATCCACGCGATTCGCTTATGGCATCGCGATGTGTCCCTCGCGGATCATCGGTCTGTGAAATTGCTGTACGACCCCCCTCCTACTCCTTACAACGATGAGAGGAATGACTTTTATTATGCACGGTGCTTGCAGTTAATAAACATCGGTTCTCGTCCTAAGTTCTCTACTTTGAAGCGGTTTCTTCTGCTATTGTCGGGCGATTTAAGGAAGATGACTCACTAACGGTGCGTTCACGGTCGGGACACGCAATTTGTTAATTATTTTCGCAATTGCCCGATTATCGTGTTTTCAAATGCGTCATACAACGCTGAGGACAAACAACGCTTGTCTTTTCGATTTTTCATTCGAGAAGTTTCCAACTTATTCCCACTCGCGCTCCGAGTTTTCTCGGTGTCGATGAAGCGATATACTTACTGCGTCAAAGAAGCGTTGTACATTGCAGTAATAATAACCCGGGATAAATTCAAGCCGAATTCCCCCCCCCCCCCNCCCCCATCATCTCGGATCCGTTTGACACGAGTACATCGCGATACTACATGCGCGTAAGTCAAAGGAGACGGATCGTTTCTCACGCGATCGCGTGGCCACTTCGACATGAGTTTGTTCATCGTGACTGGACGGTACACTCGAGTATTCGATCTCTCTAGAAACCAGAACCAGTCAGCGAATTTAGGTCATCTCGGGTCCACGTTATAATATAGAAGATAATATAGAAGAAAAGGTGATATTATGTCCCCCCACCCCCCCTCTTCCATTTACATTTTGTACAATAACTTCGTTATACGCCCAAGTTTAAGAAAGATGAGGAAGTATATATAATTAAATGCTAAAATGTACCTTAAAGACGAACTCGAAATACTCGAAAGTGAGAATGCGTTATGACAAATGTCGGCTATATTGCATATTAGCACTGTGTAACGGCGGGCAACTAAACAAATGATTCCATAAGTAATCATTAGAATTCGTCACCTAGTAACGGAGATATTAAAGAGGACTTACAAAGCTACAATATCACTTTTTCCTCTACATATTTTTTTTGTTTCTTCGCTAAAAGTAAAAATAGAGAAGTCTTTCAGTGGAAGGCGATTTCCTTCCATGAACAGCCTTAGGAAACAAGTCGCACGACACGGCATTCTATCAATACACATACAGCCATTTATTGCGGATTAAAATGTTTTACTGTTTTATAATATAGCGTCCAATATATTATTGCGATACAAATAATTTCTACTTAGGCTCATGTCGCGTTCATGGCAATTAAAAGCCGTTAATGGGTTTAAGTGTGACGGAATGAACGCTGATCGATTAGCGTCACGTGGAATCATGCATTACACGGCTTAACGCGGGAAGGATATCTGGTAGCCATCCTTTCGCGTCTCTTACATCACGGGCGTCCCGTTCCATTGTATCAGAGCATCCTGCCATCTTTAGCGCAGCGTGAAATAAGTTGAAAAAAGAACTGATACCTTGAATTCTGTGCTACGGACGATTGCGCGACCGTGCATATATCACATGATTATTTTCTAACAAAGAAGACAATACGATCTTAGAGAGATTTTTTTGGCGCTCCTACGAGGGGGTAAAATTAATCTCTGCGAATGTGTTTATACTTATATTTTCGCTGATTTGAATTTTGCGCTACGAAAATAACGATTGAGCGATCTTGCGGATATCACGGTGATTATTTCGTGACGAACAAAATAACAATGATCTTCGAGCGATCTTCTCTGACGTTTACGAGGCGAGTAAAATTGATCTCTGAACACACGTTTATATATTTATCATATAATATACTGACTTGGATCGGATGAGTTTTTCTAACGGTGTCGCGGCGATGTCCGTGGTTTCCATTGTTGCAGCATCTGATGTCCCGGAAGTCTCGTTCGCTCTGGTGTCCACCGTTAACGTAGCGTGACTACCGCCGCAGGTGAAATATTGAACCTCGAAGCTTCAACATGCACGTACATGGGATTCCCAAAGGCCGACGAGTAGAAGAAAATTATATATATTCCCACATGTTCAAAAGTTCAGTGGAATTAACCTCTACAGCAGCAGTTGCTCTCTCACTCGCTAACTGCATATCTGATATATATTATGTATGTACGTACCGTCTTTCCGCGTGATAGTTTCTCAGCAACTCTCGGTTCGTGTTGAAGAGCACTCCGTGATGGCCAAGGCAAAGAGTCACCCATATCGGTAGACTGGGTGTCTTCAGACGAGAACCCAATTGCTTGCTTACGTCGCCGTCTCCTTCGTGGACTAGAAATCCCACTTCGCTTCTGATGAGAACTCCCCATTGCGGTACAGCCTGTAAATGATATCAAATTAGATTAATGAAAAGAAGTCTATTTAAATTACGTCAAATTAATTTCAATTAATCAACATCGAAATGATCTTTTGACATTTTTAAATTGGTTTACATATGTGTTTTCATCGCCGACATGAAGCACTCCGTTATGAAGATGCGGTGAGGCACGACCAGTCAGAACGAAGATGACGATGCTAATTGGCCCTTCCTCCGTGCACCCGCCTAGGATCGACGCCTTCGGGTCCTCTAAATCATTCCGAACTCTGAGAAGATCAAGTACTTACATTAGATTAGTTTGTTTGAATAGTCAAGTAATATAATTCCCCATTTTCGCTCTGGAATAAGATCGTGTCGATGAATAAAAGACAAGATAAAATGTCTTACTTTGAGAGGCCCCTCGACAGCACCGCGCTGTATAGAAGCAACTTCGCACCGGGCCCACCCTCGTCGTGAAACTGAAAGGAAATGTAAATGAGGCTTTTAGTTGGTATCCTCGTAATAGTCTTGGTTAAAAAAAAAAAAAAGAAGGTAAGATAATTTTGCATCTTATGATAAAACAAATATCACAATTGAATCGATTCAGTTAATTTCCAATTTTGTACGAGAAGAGGATAAATCAACGGAAAAAGATAAAAGGCAATTGAGGTCCAATAGAGAAACGATACCGAGTCGTTGCAACAGTTAAGTGCTTATCTATGCACTGTCTGATATTCAGAGCGTAAAGTCTCTCGCGACGTGAACACTCACCAAGTACAAGTATCTCTTGATAAATATCTCGAGGTCCTCCAAGGAGTTGAATTCGAAGAGGTGCAGCTGGGGGGACAAAGTAACCTTTCAGGGAATGCGACGGTGCATCGTGGAAAATCTAGTAGCGCGCCTCGTGATATATCGGTCGCGCGATCTCGAAGCTAGCTCTAACGCTTGGCGGAATACCAACGCTGTAATTTGACATACGTTGTTTCGTCGCGCATTAATTGCACGTGAAAGCCAAAGTTTCACCGAGTTCACTCATTTGCACGATGTCAAAACTACGAATTTCTCTCGAATACGTAAGAAGCGTGCCTCCTGCACGATTCGACCGTTTCGTGCTCGCCGAAAACGAAAAATCGAAAGAACCGCACATCACGAGCTTTCTTCTTTTGTTGGGGGTAGATATTAATGTAGAAAATATATACCGTTTCTGTTAGCCCGTCTTGGAAATATTGTACACTATGCTGAATATACGGTGTCTCCTGTGGCAGAACTACCACGGCCTTTGGTACGGTGTTGCTGACTACGTTCGGGCATGTGGACACGGAAAAGCCGCCGGCACAACGCCAAATGATCTCTGATATCGCGGAAGTCAGCACTTCGATCTGTCGATCGTACGGCGGTTTCAGCAGACTGCAATGGAGGGGAAAAAAATCCTCTCAGAGCGAGTTATTCGACTATGTACACAATAAAAAATAAACATTTTGTATTTATATTAAAATCCATCCTTGTTAAAACTTTTGTGCCCAATTTTTAATATATTCGTATGTTAATTTAATATGTTGTATTTATATTATCTCAATATTTTGTGTTGAGTCGAGATATATTCAACATGGGCAAGTGCAAAATAACATTATAAATATTAAAATAACATATTTTATACTCCAGTGTCAATTAATATATTGATTTTGTGTTAATTTTTAACAGAATATTTGTATTACTTTTCAACATATTTACCTTGCGTTAAATTAAAACAAAAATTGATGTGGACCGTTTGAGGCATGGAAAATGTGTTAAATTTATCATAAAATTTTCTACTGTGTACGAAAATGAAGTGCAAGCAACAGCTTGTGTTTCTGAGCAACCAAAAACCCAATTTACGGATATGACAAAATATGAAACGTGTTGCTATGAGGAAACTTACGCTTCGGGCCCGGTGCGGAATTCTTGCCTGTCGCATTTGAACAAAAAGTGCTTCAGCATGACAGCTTGTACCGCGGTGACAAGGCCTCTCGTTGTGTTTCTGGGCGCTCTGAGTCCAAAGGCCAAACTCTGCCCGTAAGGTCGTAAAGTCAATCCGGTTCTTGCCCATTCAGCTTTAGGTGGGAGAGCACAGGAACCGAAGACCAACGCTCTCAAAGCCTGTTACAATAATAAGAGAATTGTCAATGCGATGATAGTAACGAAAATTATTACTTCATTATTCTTTAAATTAAGCATTACTAACAAAATCACATGATGCACATCGATATTTTCATTATTCTCGCAATCTACAGAAATATTCTGCGAATTGCGACCGTTCGATTTAAACGCAGATAATAAAATTATGACTTCTACAAACTATTTTTTTTAACAACAACGGAGTTCTTTAATATTTTCTTAACATAATGTTACTTATTTTAAATAATTTATTATTTGTGACAACCATTGTAATATTTGGATGGAAATACAAAAAAATATATTATTTGACGTAAAGATATTGTTTGAGAAACCAAATAATCCTGAGTGTTGAGTCAAATATTCGTTTGTTTGTTTCATTCCAAACAATAAATTTATTTCAACTAAAAAGATGTTAAGTCCAGAGAAATCTCTGTGTAGATAGATTTTGAGATATCACGTTATATCTCACCATACATGTTTCCTCCTCGATCGGCTGTCCACCGACCACCGGTGTTTTCGGCAAGGCTCTCGTGTTACGCGGATAGAGTATCCTCTCTGAAACACACATTAAGAAGATACTCATACTCCAGAAACTAAGCAGATTAAGGACGTAAGCGTCTCTTTACACCTGGGTAAAGCTCGTCGGGTTCGGCCATAAGAGCAGCGCACCGGGCTGCTCGGGTTGACAGCAACATCTTCCCCCGAGGTTTTTAATAATTCTGCGATATTAAAGGCACATATTAAAGGCACCGAAGATATCGGATTATTATCATCTCACATAATGTTGCGATCAGAAAAACACGTATAAAATTTCTCTGCTGTGGAAGTAGATTTTTAATGTCCGGTTCCATCATCACGATTTAAATCTAACCGACGATTAATGTAATTGACCAATCACATTGGTCATTTAGCTGAATCGATCACTGCGATTGGTCAATTCCGTTGAGTTAATCGTCGATTAGATTTAAATCATGACAATGGGGCCGAGCATAAGATACACTGAGCTACGTTAGTCTCTCGGTACCCTCGGTATGCGCGAGCTATGCGGCAAGTGCAAGTCGCGATCTCCGGCGAGGATGACTCCGCGGCCGGTTGTCACCCAATGGTAGTACCACGCCAGCAGAATATCGGATATCAATTGGGATCGTGCCGGAGTCCGCACCCTCCTTTATATAGGCCCGCGTACAGTGCTTATGCGTGCAGGCATCTCGCAAAATACGTCGCGCCATCGGGACTGATCGCGCGCACGGAAGGTGTCAATTCGAATGTCCGAGGAGATACACGGCAAGGGCGATAGACATGCCCTACTAATGTCTATTTGCCGCTATCCAATTGCTGCTTGCAATTCGTGCGCACGTGAGTCTGTCCTCCCGGCCATTGGCGTAATTAGCACTCTCGTGTTGGCGACTCTCTTCGTTCAACTTATCCCCGATTGTTCGCGCTACGGCTGGCGATGAAGGAATATGTAACTGCGAATGATCACCCGATAAACAATATATCAATGTTATAATTTTTCACTCAACGATGTAATTGTTGTATACAACATATCCCAGATAGGAATTCAAATAAACAGTATCAGGCTCTCTGATGAACATTGACGTAATGTTACTCGTTGATTGGTGTTTATTGGGCATTCGTTCTAAAACGACGTCTGATACTTGGTCTGTTCTCTATAGTTAAACTGTCTACATTAATTCAAGAAGTTTATATAGATATAGAAGTTTACATACATATTAGATTAGAAGCATATGAAGCGTACGTGCAAAATTCCCTCGCTTCAGTGTATTTACTGAACTAGTGCAGCCAGTTCAGCTATAAAGAACAGACCAATTGTTTGCGTTTAGCAGAAAAAGCAGTTCACTGAGTGCTTAATGATTATTGTCCTTGATTGGTACATCCTCTTGGATCTACCAGAAATCTAAACGCTCCAGTCAATAAAAAACAATAATCATTAACCTGTTAACCGAGCGGGATGTATAAATACGTCCGTGTTGCGCAGTTAAAAAAGGAATTCCCCGGTTAACAGGTTAAGCGCTCACAGAGCTTCCTTTTCTACTGAACGCAGCAATTGCGTTTGAGTTCCTCGCGAGCAAAAAAGGAGATTCAACGTCAAATTGAAACATTAGTTATGCTATCGTGGATCGGTGCTGCGAAGTTGCCTAATACGTTCCTGTGTTTCCCCACGTTATTCCCGTTACGCCGAATGCTTTACGAGAGGCGCCGGAGTTTAAATGCGATGTTGTTTACGCACGAGCGCAGAATATCGATACGCTCGGGTCTTTACACTTCTCGCGTGTACGTCGGGCATAACTGCTTGCATACAGGAGCCGAGTCGAAGTAAAACAGAGAACAAGGTTCTCGTCTTCTCGGAAACAGCTTCGATCGTAACGCGACGGCCACTTGGACGGAAATAATGGAAAATTAACAATGGGACACGATAATGCCGGTTGTCGCACAAATTCTCCCATGTAAATAGACGCGATATTAGTAGTCTTCTCTTTCCAGCGTGGAGAATTCGAATTTAACAATCTTTTTGTACCCATACCGAGTGCAAAAAATTGCTAAAACAAAGGTTCTTCCCGTGCAAGGGAACACGCGTGTCAAGGGTGAATGATCCGATATTATTTTTTTTATAGGTTTTTTATAGACTGGTACGGTGTAGAGTGTAGTCCGAGTGAATTTCGAACGAGGGATCGCGCGAGGCGAATGAAACTCTCGCACGGTTAGACCGGCTGTTCTCAGACGACGGAGTAAGATATGTACACGTATATATCATTCGGCACGGCCTTTCGAGCTACTTCGTAGCTCGAAGACGGTCGCGTGTTCGCGTGCAATCAAGATATCGGATTACGAATTCGCGCCGGAACGGCCATCTGCATTCGGCGATTGCACACCCCGATATATCGCGCTCCTAATTTACATCCGCGAGCGGCACCTCTCGAGCGGGCATAACTATCGATCTATTCAACCGTTTACGCTACAGCGGGTATATAATGCTGACAGGCTAGCATATAATTAAAGCTCGTTATAAGAGCTAATAAACGGCTCGGGTATGCTAAGATCAACCTAGTTGCGTTGGGTTTCCGTAGAATGCGGGCAGAGGCCACGGTTACACTGCACGAGCCATGAGTGCGACCACTGCACACTTGGCTGAAAAAACATTTACAGCGAAATTAATAATAAAAAATGTAATATGTCAATGTAACCCGAGTAAAAACACGTCTACATTGAAAAAAGTGCCATATTCCAGTAAATATTTGTTAAGAAATATTTGAGAGTGATTATTTTATTTACTTAAATTATATAAATATTATTTAAATATAATATTTCTTTTATTATATTCTAACATATCTGCTATATACCGACCACTAGCGTTTAAAAATAAGGCGGCAAATTAAAATTGAGGGTACGTTATTTCATAAAAATATTAAGAAAATAGTAGGTAAGCGGAACTGTCTGGTAATTAGTTATGATTTATCATCTTATAACGGTAATTTCTTTTGTCGTTTAACCATTAGTTAACTTGTTTATCTAGCTATTAGGAGAAATGAGCGTTGCATTATTGGCTAACAGCTACGTTAGACATGTTAGTTACGTTAGCAGTTAGACACAAATTTGCTACTTCATGGCTAAACTCACTCACGAAGTTCAATTTTTATTAGGGTAGAATTTTAATTTTCCTCTTTTTCAGTTGCGGTATTTTTGTGATAAGGTTTCTGTCGTTCTGTCATTCTGTCTGTTATAAGAAATTTCATTACCTTTGTCCCGAAGGTAAGGGGGCAACTTGTCTTTTCGCATCTCCCTGCAGTGTCGCTTGTCGCAGGTGAGCGTCGCGTTTTTCGCAGCGGCTTCGTCCTTCTCCGGCACGTTGGACGTGAATTCCGCCATTTCGCACGTACCCTTCGCGTTCGCATCACCTTCCGGGCCAGAATTCGACTTTGAATTCATACGTTCACCGAACTTCACCAGGAACCGGACCAAATCGCCGTTGCACGTGGTCGCATCCTCCTCTCACAAGACGAATTTGTTCGTTGAGACGTATCCTCGGAAGCCGGAAGGTATCTACGCTCTTCCGCTTCATGCGTCGGATTTATGATCCACAGCCTGACGCAGTTCAACGGTCCATCCAGAAAACGCCATTCGTTTTCATTCAGCGGTCGCCCCTCGAACGGCGTGACTTCCGCAAAATCGCGCTGCTTCGGCCACTACGACGCCCTCACGTTTTCTCATTTTGCCCGCCGGGGACGGAATGAGCTGCAGCTAAAAATTGACGTACCTTGCCCACCGGTTTCTTTCGACAGCCCTCTGGGCAATCAGTGCCAGGCTCTAACGTTCGCGCGGAAAAAGTCGAAACGCGAAGCTCCGCGTACTCGGTCTTACCTTCATAAACGCCGGTGATTTAAACGCTCGTGTGTTAGCTCGAGATACGACGTGTAAGATCTTTCAAAAGTCACACCTCATTAATTAGGGATATCTTATTTCTAATTATTTTCTCAACGTTTTGAGGGAGCAAAGTTTCAGTTTACGGAGAAAAACATCGCGTTGAAATGAAAGAACGCCGCGTTATATCACGAAATGCACGTTCGTACTCGCGTTCGATGTGTTCGTGCGAACTTTCGGACGAAGTGAGCTCACTTCTTCGTTACCGCGAAGAAGATCTACAAACAGAGAGTAACAGGGTGTTGTTTGTTGTCCCATTCACCTGCGATAACTGACAGACCACCGGCGGCCAGAAATAATAATTCTAACTAACACCCCCGGAGAGCTGAGTCAGCACATTGCGCACCCTACTATACAGGATGGCCCGAAAAACGGCATCAGCCGCGACCAATTACGCTTAATAAGTTATTACGACCTCTCGTACATCGCGTAGCCGGAAATTAAGTCGTCGAAATGGCAAAGTTCCTCGGGCCAGAGATTAGCCAATGAGATTTTAAGCCTCGAGGTTTTGGAATTCTTCGGATACGTCGGACGTGTTAAACGTGTGTGCGCAGATGTGATATGCACGTGAAATACAGCTGTGAAATATCGTCCAATGATACGTCGAGTCGACGGGTGTCTGTCGTGAGATTGGATACGGTAAATCGTTCGCCTAATTGTTACACGCGTACTGACAGCTCCGACGTGGCTGAATCATGCTTTTATACCTGCGTAGCACCAAGTATACACACGTACTCTATACCTGAGCCACCGTTCGGCACAGATGTGCGGAATACGAATCGTCTTATCTTATAGATCTATCGGAGCCGCGCATCTTCGCATGCGTTCCGTGCTGTTCTCGTGCCGGCTTTATAGACAATCGGAAATGAAGTTGCAGTCGGAAGCAGTTCTAATCAAATCGCGATGTAAAAATGAAATTGGGGCGCATTCGCAGTTCTACGGGTGGAGGTGAAAAAAATGCGACCGTTTAAATCGCTTTTTTTTAACTTTGACTTATACAGGTATTTCCTGCAAATCGTCTCTCTCGCGTTATTAATTATAACATTTCGCGAAGGCGATACGACGAGGTATTTTTTATCGTTGCGCGGAGGATATTTGGATTTTTCTACGTGTGACATCGCACAACCATGTAATATTCTTAACTTTCACATAATATCCGAATATTATAAATATAATTATAAATATATAATATTCGGATTTTTCCAGGTATCACATTAGATCTTTCAGCAATGACAAAAACCTCCGGTATATATCCCGGACAGTGTTTCATTAACAGTGAAAGCACACTTGGGTCTCTCCGACACGAATTCAATTAAACGATTCGATCAGCCAAATCCTAATGCATCGGGTATAACAAGGAAGTCGAAGAATCGTTAAAATTGATTTCCCCGTCGGTTCACGTGGTCCTAACTTATCGCTCGTTTGTAATTGCCAATTTCCTGAGCATTCTTCGTTCGCGCGCGAACGAATCTAAGTTCAAGTTCGCGTTCTGAAATAGACGCGGCCCGCGTGGCGCATCTACGAAGATGCACCGACGAGGGGTGCGAATATGAAATTGAACGGGCACCGTGTGGTGTAGTACCAGGAGCGGCGCGATGCATGCACACATGCATTCAAGTGCAGCGGAACGAGCGAGAAGGTTTAATGATCGATCAGCTGCGCACGGTTACGCCGGGTGAAACAGCGAGCGAGCGAGCGAGTGAGAGAGAGAGAGATCGTATATTTCGCGCGAATGATCGATCGTTGATGACGTGCCACTCGGAAGACGAAGAAGCTTTGTTCACCGGAAAGAGAATGCAGGATTTATCTTGCAACGTCGTGCGCACTGAAACTTGTTCAAATACAGAAATCACCCGGCGCATTGTTATTTCCGCGAATTGCAAATCTAATACAGAGAGATGATTGTCCACGTCACGTACCCTTTGATGCTTCGATCCGACGGGATGTGGAATTCACTATTGAAACCACGTTTACCACTGTGCTCAATCTTGTTCGTTGCCTCCCAGGAAGCACCACGGAATCTCCCATACTGCGTAAATAACGTTCGTTGTTAATTTCTCTCAGGTATCTTACACTTGGCTCATGATACAGCTATTAATTAAAACGCAACAAATTCTCTTGATCATCAATTTGATCTTAAGACGAGTCATTAAATTATTTGCATATGTTTACTCGTATAACATCGATTTGAAACAAAACTTTTTGAAAATCTGTTAAGATGCAAAGAAACATTTCTACATAGAAATTATAAAGCACACATGCTACAATACACTTCTTGAAAATCGTATTTTTTAAACACTAATGTCAGCGAATTTTAACTTCACGAATTACCTTGTAATTGATTCTTTCATGTCGCTTCAAGTTTTCACTGACAGAAAACAGGTGAAATGTTGACAATAAACATTATTAACGCAATCTTCCTGATTATGTAACAATAAAAACAACAGCTGGCTCAAGCAGTATTGCACTTCCGCCATCTCATTACGGAGGAGGGACCTGAATTAGCTAAACCAGTTTTCAGAGCAGTTTTCGTGATCCGAGTTAATAGAAGCTCCACCTAGGGTGAGGTGTACGCCTACGTGGTAACATTCCGACTTCTCGAGAACTGCCTTTGGCATACTTCCACCGAGCATTGCATAAGTCATATTTAGTCCTTCACCTACCGGCAACCCTATGCAGATTATATAGATCAACTGCAGTGTGAATTACTGAAGATTGTTTGCGAGAAACGGTCAACAATACAACACAGTATAACGTTGAAATCCAGTCATTAATTATAATCGAGGAGTTATTGTTTGAGAAATATATATAATTAATACTCCCAGCATACCTTTCTGTGTATTTTCAACTATGTATTCTAGGCAGAAATTTGACTAGCAGGATGAAGGAGGTGCCTTTCTTTCAGGGATTTGAGTTATACACAAAAGGATATGCTTCCATTGTTCCAAAATCATTCAAGTTATTCAGTTTGTTAGGAAACGTTATCAGAGAATAAGAAAAAAACATCTGGAAATCTGAAAGAAAAAGTAAATTTCATAGTCATTGAGCCTATATATATATATATATATATATATATATATGTTCAACTTTAAAAATAATAGTATATTTAAAAATATAAAAAAATTTTAAATATCTGCTGATAAGTAATATTGCGTACGTTTTAAATATTATAAAAATATAAATACAGATACTTTTTATATTATATTTATATAGTATTATCGTTATTCAGATATGAATAGAAGAATCAAAATTAGTACTGTATTATAAATGGGTCAAAACCGTCATAGTTGTGTCAGAACATTCCAATTATTTCTGGACTCCTGGGTTCCATCAGTAATGAGAAAAGGCGCTTTACCGTTGGAAAAAACTGTATAATTTCTGCCTTAAGATGAGATAAACATACAATTGTGTTTTGATGAAAGAAAGAGAAGAGAGATGAAGGAATGAAAAAAATTGCAAGGAAAGATAGGTTAAAATACAGTCAAATAACCTGAAAAAGGTACAAATTTACCGAGATACACGAAAACGTTATATGCTTGTCAAATATCTTGGAACAATTTTTCATTAAATATTTTCGTATGGCTGTTTCCGACGTAACGCGATAGACGTTAGTTACAAAACATCACGTTGAATCGCATTCAAACGAGCCGATTAATGGATCATCTGTAAGCTCGACACGATAACGATAACACTCGTTAACACGTGAGAGCCGTTCTTAACACGTAAAAAGATACACGAGAATGCGAGAAAAATTACCTGCTCACTTCGAACCGTAACTTCAAACTCCGATAGTCGCAACCGTTGCGACGACAGCGCCGCAAGCGGAGAACCTCGAAAGCCAGTTTGCACGGCTCGCGGCCACGGTTGGTCGAGAGTGAGTTCCGTTCATCAATTATCGTCGTTGAGAGTGCCGAAAGTAAGTATCGAGCAATTGATATCACGAAACCAATTGTCATATAAATCACCGGAAGTAAATACGTCGCGAAACGGACATGTCGGGGATATCGAGCAAAGTGTCTCATATTCGTTACGTTACGGTCGTTCGGAGTATGTCTCGCTGATCCACAAGTCGTATTCATCTTGGCAAAATTCTGAGTACTTCAAGCGTAAGAATCATTTTGAGTACTCTGCGTGTCTCTTATTGCGTGGATTTTAAGATACAAATCAATTGTCGCGATGGAATGACTGAGACCGGAATTCTCATCGTCGGGGAACGGCGCGAAGTTGTCGCTGGTTCAAATTTGGAGAATCGCAATCACTGCGACGGAAGCGCCATGGCCCGACGGTCTCGGGAACTATTCTGCATTCAGCGCGTCCAGCGAACGCTGTTCGCTGGAAATGAATCTCCCGCGCGCGAATTGTCGTCGTCGGGAGTGCCGAAAATGAGTATCGTGCGTTCAACATGGCAAAGCCAGTCATTACGTGGTCGGCGATAGTGAATATTTCGAACGGAACGGGCGTTTCGGGAGTGCCGAGCAGAATGTCTCGCATTTCGTGACGTTGTGGCCATTCGAAGTTGCTCCTTGTACGTAAGTCGTACTCATTCTGATAAAATCGCGAATATCTCAAGTGCCAGAAGCATATCTTGCATTCGACGTATCTTTTATTGCACGGTTCTTAACGAATAAATCAATCGCAAATGCAACATGGCGGTCGCGTTTAGAATTCAAACCACTCGAACGACTCGAGGAATGATCGCGGCGGAATGTTTGTTTTGCAACTGTCGGAAGTTCTTTAAGCTGAGATTGGATTGTTCTCGTAAATTGTGGGGGGAATAATCCAATTTCAGCGCAACGTAGCCGCTTCGAAATTACGAATGTACGCGACGGCAGCACCGTAGCTCCGATTCGGGAAGTCGACTGGCGTTCGTCTCGTAATATTTATTCGCCGGAAATTCAGTTTCGTGCGTAAATTATCGTCGTCGGGAGTGCCGAAAAGAAGTACCGCGCATCTTCGATATTAATCGTGATATGGCCACCGACAGTTTCGCGCGTTCGTTGTGATGGAATAATAAATCGAGAAACGGGAGTATCGAGTGAAGCGTCGCGCCTTTTGCCGTATTATGGCGGAAATTCGGACTTCCAATCGTTGGCGTTTTTCCCCGAGGCAATTCGCTGAGGAAGTGCGCGGGAATATCATCGGGAGTGCCGAAAGCAAGTTTTGCGCGTTCGTTGTGATGGAACATTAAATCGTTGAGACAATGAATATCTCGCGGAACGGACTGCCAAGAGTGTCGAGCGAAGAGGAAGCGTCTGTCACATTGAGGAGTGTAAATTATCAGGTCGGATTTTCTTCAAAAGTGGGCTGATCAGAGGAAGGAAAATAAGGTATGTAAGGATTAAGGATAAAGGACAAACACCTATCGATATAGAGCAGGTGTTGTAACAGATAATGTGACTTTTGTGTATCGAGTCATATTATGCTCTCTCATACATGTTACAAAATTTATACGCCTAATTGATTATTACATTATTTTTCACTGTCTAAGGAAAGAATTACGGAAACATGTGTACTACATTTATGTACTATAAAAATAATTTAATTCATAGAAAGAGGGGAGGGGGGGGGGCATTTACAATATTATTGATTAGGCAATACTTGAGCAAAAAGAATAAATATCTAATGTGTCCTTGGTATCATAGACGAAGCTTTATTTGGCATCTTATGATTTAACGGTATAAGATTGGTTTTGATTTTTATATTATTTACAATATGACTATTTAGTTATAAAAGTTCAAATGAAACGTAATTCTGCCTCGAATAACGCTTCGTATTAAACCAAAAGGACTTCTTAATTAATGTATAAACAGTAATACATGTTTTATTACATTTTGGACTTCTTCACGGTTCCTTTTCGTTGCTTAGGACGTTTGCTCGACTGGTCAGCTTTCGCTTCCGACAGAAACTCGTATTTTTGCGACAACTTCTCTCTAATCAACAAGCCCTTGATAAGTTTCCTCCAATTGCCGTAAACTCTCTTCTCTCTTTTCTCGGTAGCGCGTTTAGCCGCCTCGACCTGCTCCGTTTCCCAAGCATCTCGTAACGTGTCCTCGTATTCGGCGCATACGACAAAGCCCTCGATAGCTGGCACAGCACCCATACATCCGAAATTGAAACCCACCACGGCGGATGCACAATCTATATTCAATTTTCGAGCGATGCGATTTAATCCTGGAACTGTAAAGATTTCGTTACATAGTTTCAGGTCTTCACAATGCACTTTGCTATTGCATAATTTATATTGTTTGTATATTATTATCATTTTTGTAACAAAACATGATAACGGAAAGTTTATTTGTTACTTTTTCAATGTGTTTCCCTTTTTATTTCAATTTTAATAAAATTTATATTATATTTAATATCAGTCAGGTCTTAATATTTTTATAATTTTTTGAAAATTAGAAAAGATTCGTTAATTGAACATATATATTTTTTTAAATTTCATTTAGGACATAAAACATGGTAAATTAGCTGCTGAAAGTTATGGGGAAAAATGGTAATCTAGTTGATAAAATATTCTACTGTCAGTATGAAATATATATATTTTACTTACGATTTATATGCACTGTGCCCTTCGGGAGCATACATTGTTTAAATAAGTCTACATTCCCGTATTCGTTGCGAGGTACGATGCCATTTTTGGCTTCTGGCGGAACGTATTCCGTGGTTTGCCACTCTCCGAATAATTCCAATGCCGAGTTCTTAAGTTTCATGCCTGAAAGCTACATAAGAATATTTGTTACAGCATTTTCTATCTCTGTGAATAATAAAATTTCGACAATTTCGCGTTGAAAAATATTTCTACGATAAAAAATCTTTTTCATTTAAATCGAATGAAAAAGTTTTATCAACGTAAATATACCTTATCGTATTTCGGAAGCGCTTTAACTATTTTATACGGATCCTGCTTTGGTTTAACCACACGAGCCTTCTTCAACCAGGTTTCACGTGAACATAACGTATGTACGCAATACCGCGAATAAATGGCCTCGCCATTATGTAGATGTCCAAGTGGTACACAGTCCGACGGGTACAACGCTTCGTATTTAAGTAAATGCCTGACCAACACATACAAAGGGTGTCCTTTACATTCCCCAACGGTTTTAGGTAACGGCTGCTCTAATTCTCTGTGGACATATAATCGTACGTTATCGTGTATCATGTGGTATTATCCTTTGATACCATTCTCACATTGCAATCGTACTTAAACGATTGTAACTATATCTAAAATGCACTTCAAACGACCTACAGCAGCGACGGAATTCGAGACGGAATTCTATTCACGAAATTGATAAAATTGACATTGATCCTTTTTTAAATATAGGTACACATACATCTATATATGATATTAATTCTTCAAATTAATTGTTATAATTGATTAATAATTATTTTTCTCTTGGCAAATAGCATTTTGGTTAGAATTTAGTCATGTAGATTATCTAAGATGAACTGAAAACATATGAATGTAGGAAAGAAAAAAGCGCACTTTTGCAGAAGCAGTTCGTCCTCTTGTTTGGATATAGTTGTCTCTTTTTCCGGCCAGTACTTTACGGTCTCAGTCCACCATTTCTCATCGATACGTTGTTTATGCGTGACAGAAAGCCAGTGTGGACAATAGCGTCTCGTGACGTCTTTTATTAATCCCTCCGAATTATAAGCAATCACATATAATACTGGTTTGTTCGCTTTTTTCTGAAACAATTTTCAGCAGTAATTAGTTAATTGTAAGAGTTGTTATTCTTCGAGTTACTTACATACACTTCGGCTACACAATCCACGTTGCCGTCCATCACGTTTATGGCTATCCAGCTGCCTTTAGACTCAACGTATACCTCGGTCCATACGTCTCGCGTCTTTTTTATTTTGTCCTTGGTATCAGTCTCCTCCTCATCTTCCGACACTGACTCTTTCTTCTCGTTTTTCTTTTTAGATTTAGTGACGGTCCGCGTTTTATTGCTATCAACTCGTTTCTTTTTTGCTTTGTTAGTTATTTCTTCTTTTTCTCCCTTTTCTTCTCCTGAGCTCAAGTCAGAATGATTGGTCTGCGTTTTTCTCTTGGAACTTAACGTTTTAGATTGATTATTTTCTAAGCTGTTGTTCCTATTACTTCGTTGTTTAGCTGTTGAAGATCCAGCCGTGGATAGCTTGCCAGACCTTAAATTTCTTGAAGATGTAACGAGGTCTGCTTTTTGAACACTAGTGGAAGTTGCTTTCTCGTCTCTGACTTCAGCAGTATTACTTTGGGCAATACTGTTGTTCAATTTATCCTTGTCTTTTTTATTGTACGCATATTTGGAACGGAGAACCTCTGCCGCTTTTTTTCTTGCCGTTAGATTAGCGTTTTTCCGTGCGCTGTCACTGTTCTGAATTACGTCATTATCTTTCTTCGGATCTGTTTTCTTGATATCTTCCTTGGAGGAAGAGGACTTAGAGGACTTTGCCTTTGTTTTAGTTTCTCTTGGCTTCTCCTTAGCTTGATCAGTTTTCTTGGGAGCATTTATTTTAGGCAACAGGTCGGCGTAAGCTTTTACAGGTGGTGGATTGAGAGATACGATTAAACGGCAGTTTAAACCAATACCTCTTAGTACCGCTACATATAGTACTATCAATTCCCTATAATTAACAATTTTCTTTTCTGCTATCCTCTTTAATAATGTTACTTTATTTACGGTGATGTCGTTGTCAATAGATTCTACAGTAAATATATTTCTGAACCACTTTGTGAATTTTTCTAAGTATACGAGATCAAACTTGTCTTTTGGATAGCTGTTTGTTGGAACCAGCGATACTACTGTTGTCATTATCTCAGGATCATTGGCTTGACGATTCAGGTAGAATCCATGTGCCAACCAACAGAGTCTGCTTACTTTCTCCACAAGTACCTGATTAGCTTTTAATTTCCTTCGTAGAATCGCAGCCAAATCTGACTCCTTTTTGCTGGCTTTCTTTTTGAGGAACATACTTGTGCCTGGCAGGGTTATTTTAACACCTTCCTTAGGTATAGTATAGTCAGCTGGGCGTTTAACATCCTCCTCATTTTCTGTATCCTCATCGTTCTTGCTAAACTGATATGCTCCACTTTCTCCTTGCAGTAAGACTGCATTTATCTCATCTGATATGTTTCTCATTTTTATATCGGTTTTTGTTCCCTTGATATCCTGCAAATAATAATGAACATTTGAATTTCTGCTCCAAAAAATTTCAAATAATTCAACCATATATAGGTTCAAGTCACTTTGAATGATTTATGAAACTAAAATCTACCTGGGAGCTGTTATCTTTGGAGGAGTGTTGTTTCGGATCTTCATTTTTGACCAGAATTCTTTGCGTAGCCTCTAAATTCTTGACAACCTCAGAAAACAGTTCATTGTTCTCGGTAACATTCATGAAATCGTCGTCGTCATCGTCGTCATCGTCGTTGTCATCCTTGTTGTCTTTTGATTCCACCTGACTAAGCTTTGCCGGTTTTATGGAGAAAAAGCTCGCGGTGAGCTCATCTTTGGACGTGAAAGCTTTGCTATAGAAATCGCTGCTGCTGTCGGAACTGTCATCGTCGGAATCACTCATGTTGCCTGATAGCATTCGGTAAATATCTTTGTTCTTTTGTTTATTATTAGTACTTGTTATTATTGTGCTTTGTCATGATTATCTGACATGACGTTTATCTTATTCGTGAATCAAGTGACAAAAGTTGCACTAGTTTATGTAACAAAACGCAATACGTAATAATTTACTCGAGCCGCTATAAACACAACATAATACACGTGAGAGCACCTATTCCGTGCATACTTTTTCAGTACTACTTAGGACCAGAGAAGATGATGTAAGGATACGTCGGTATAAAATAGTAGGCCGTTCCTGACGTTATCATCGGATGATACATGAATGAAGTATAAGTTAACTTACTGATGGTCGCGGAATATAAAATCCTTCTCAAGATCTCGATCTGTCGATATTGTAGAATAATTGCTTGATTTTTATTTTTCAAGTCGTACTTTTCAAAATAGATTATTAGCAATATATTTTGAAAAGTCAAAACAATTTTTTCGATTATGTTGATAACTTCTTGATATTTTATACATAATATTTCCATCAACTATTCTTATAACTTCAATCACTTCCTGAGAAAAATTTAATAGAAGGATATTATTTTATTTTATAACTATTATGGAGTATAAATATTTTAATATAGTATTATCGTGATATAATTTCATTAATTTTATATATAATTTCTTACCAAGACGTAATTGTTTCTTAAACATCCATCTTCTAAACGCGTCATCTGTAAAATATTCGGCACATTTATTTAACTTGAACTTTTTCTTCTAATAACGTTAATAAATTGAGTTTTTTAGGTATGACGGATTGCACAAAGCGCAAACAAGAAAATCGGTTTACTTATCCGACATTCATTTATTCTTTGTCGCACGTTTGCGACAGCGAAATTTATATTCGCGCGTTACAAAGCGCCCGTGATTTTGTGAGATATCACCGTAAGAAAGTTTCCCCGCGAAAAAAGTGTGGCGGATACCGGCATCGTGAAAAAAAGTGCTCTAAATAGGAGAAATTAAGTCCACGCGACGGTGCATGAATTTTGCAGCAGCTTTTTGTCACATCGAAGGATGTCGCGTGTATTATAAGTCGCGCTCACGTCCGAGCGTGACACCGTGAATCGTTGAATAATCTCGCAATTGGTGCAGAAAATTGAATGACTTGACGTACACACAGACGCACGTATACACATACGTAACTGCACACGTAATACGTATACACAAAAGCGTAAACGGTAAAAAATTTTGTGTAAATAACGGTCCTCTGAAATTTGTGTGTTACTTTAACACGGAAAAATCTTAAAAAGTATATAAATGTATTAAATTATATATATATAGTAAATATGTTAAATTAACATATTCACCTTGATAACTTAATTATATTTATTAATTAACTTAATATAATACTTTTTAACATATTCATCTCGTTCAAGTAATACGAAAATTTCAGTAGACCATTATTTGCATAGAAATGTTTACTGTGTAGTAACTTTGTATTATGAAGTGTTTTAGAAGTGCAATTTAAAATCGATGGGTGATCGGCAAGTTTTTTCTTACCGAAATGGCATTCGATAGCTAATGGTAGCGGCGACTTGTGCAAAATATTGCACAGAACATATGCAATTTCGACCGAGCCGGTGCCGACCATAAAGTGTGAATTATTTCTGTAACTGGTGTAGAAACGTTGATAAATAATGAGGAGACCCGGCGCGTACGATGCGCTCGTTCCCCCTTCGCGGTTTTAGCGGCTTTCTCCGCATGCACGCATGCATGCACAGCCCGCGGCGATTTATCGAGCCTTGCGAGTTTGTCAGTGGCCGTATGAACCGCATCTCATGCACCTGCTCTCTGAATACGGCCCGACTAATGGATAATTGTCAGGAACGACGGCCGATATCTAAGTGCATTCGTGTGTAACGCGATTGTGCGAACGGGCTGACGTTTTCCTTGCTTGATCACGTTCAAAGAGCGATGTACCATCGTGTTTTCCGATAAAGCGCGAATAGATACTTGGGGTACGTACGTTTTAAATGTCTGATGGGTTCCATTTCTTCCGCCGGGCCGGTAGGTAGGTTTTTTGGTCAATTTCACGCCAACCACGCAGCCTGCCTCTCTCTTCCTCTTTCTTTGTCACCGAATATATATTCGAGACATGCTAGCGACATCCTGTATCGCACGCACGTGTATAAGATTTATGATAAAGTATGTGCATGAGGTTATCGAGACCAGAGCGCTTTGACAGCCAACGCATAAAACTGGAAATACATCCGCCGCATCCATATACATGAATTTATGAAGGCTCATTTGTGGTATCGATTGTTAAGAGCGTTTGATGCGTCGTATCGCATTCCTCGTTTGGATCCGCGCCCTTGGCTTCTCTTTGGGTTTTCTCGTTGCTTTCGCGAACCAACTCTCGTCGTTTCTTCGACGAAGTTTCCCGGCAATCTGTAATTATCTCGACGCGAGGTGATCTAATGAAATCGCAAACACGGCGGAAAATATCGTTTCCCGTTAGGTGCGCGAAAATTACACAAGGTCGTGAAAATGTATTTTACAGGGTTCTACTTTTCACCTTCTTTTTACTTCGTACCGCATCTTTTAAATCTTTCGAAAGTTGCGCTTTTCAGTAGTGTGTCAGAAGCTTCGTTATGCGCCTCATTATACGTAGGAGTAACGTATCCGCGATTCATGCAGTCTTGTTTTCATTAAACTGTTTATATACTTCGAATTTTGGAAATTAAAAGTTACCGCGCTATTTCGCGGAAAAATCAAACGGAAATATTAAACTTCTCGGCTATTTTCCTCTTTTTGTTCAAAGATATTGCGAGAAGAGAGTTACGTAGGGAATATTAAAAGACAATTATTTGCACATGATTAATATATATGCAATGTTCACATTTATTTTGATTACCTTTTGCGTAATTTCCGTGCGCAGCTGTACGTACGCGTACGGCTTTATCTAATTCCCCGTCTTTTTATATCGATATATTAGATAATTATAGCCGGCAGCTATTTCAAGGTGTGGTTAGTCCGGAAGCTGTGGATCAAGATGTATCTAATTTATCTCGCATTTCCGGCGGCAGGCCGGAATCCGTTAGGACTTTTAATTACTTCCAAGGCGCTTTCAAGTATACAGTTTCTAATTAAACCCTCTCTCTGTTAAACTCTGCGAAATCAGTCTCAACTCTTTTCGGATTAAATGTATATTTAAGGAGTAAGTTGCGACGAAGCAATTACAAGACGACTTCTGCTCCACGACTTCTGCCTTAAAGACACCGGTTTCGTTTGAGTTTCAATTTACCGGAAGTTTCAGGAGAAAGAAAGGGAAAACTCACCGGCGTTGCGGATGTGTCGCGATCGTTTGGAAACGCTCGTCGGTTCAGCGGTAACACGGTTGGTCAGAATCGAGTACGTGCTTATTCGTATATCCGTGCTTGACCGTGACATAGAATATTACTGTTTACTCAATACGAAGTATCTCGAATTTCTCCCGCTATTCTTTTACTATTTACAGATTCGATCATCTTTTATATTTTTCGTTGATATGGCATGAGACATAAATGTCGAGGCGCTGATATTTTTTACGACCTGAAGCGATTGCAACTTCTGGGATTTCTGTTCAATTAAACTTTAGAGGCGCTAATAAATATATATTTTCTTATCTTTTAACTAATACCAATAAGGGACTTTGGTTTAATAGATTTTTAATTCGCGGCTTAACCAAGAAGACATAAAGATTAGAAACATTGAAAGCACCAATATCCAACTTGATTAAAGAGCCATAAAACTGATTTTCCAAATAAAAGCGTGAACGACTTGGGATACTTAAGATTCGATGTTTTAGCGGGCATGAAATTTTAAAACCGAATGCGTTACAAATGAATTATTGTTTGTATTAATTACGCTAAAAGCTAAAACAACGATTTTACTTGCAGTGCATCGATGTTGCGAGCCAGTTGAGTTATAAACACGAATTTAAAATACGATGCGACGTCCACGAACCGCGACACGTGCTGCAATGCCAGTACCAATTTGCTCGGACGTCATTAGTTAAATATTATATCCGGTAAAAACAATATGTCGTTTTAAATGGCCAGGTCAAGCGTGAAAATTAAATGTCATTTGTAAGCTCAATTGGAAGAAGAATAACCGATAAGAGCGACGTTCGGCCGCGTTTAAAATTATTTAAACGTATCAGAAACAATTTGATGCTGATATAACAACATTGTTTCTGCACAGTACGTTCGTTCGGTGTCAAGTACGAAAAGGTTAGTGCGTTGTTCCGCATGGAAGGTGATGAAATGAAATAAACTCTCTCTCTCTCTCTTTCCTTTGAAGCAATTTCGTCGTCGCACATGTCGGCTCTTATTCTGTCATTAGCAGTTATTAATTAATTCGTACGGCAAACTAATTGTTGGAAGGAGGTAGCGTTGCGTTTCCCTGAAAATAATGTCTTTTTATTAAAAATTCGATATGTCATATAATTTTACAGGGAATATTGAAAATCAATGACGAAAAACTAGACGTATGGTCGTTGTACGAGTATAAGAACGTTAATTCTCGGTTGTTCTTCTTTTTTATGCTGTCGCCGTGTCCATTTTTATATAGTGCGTTTCGTTCGTATTCTTAAGTAATAACTTACAGCTACTGTAGTACATTTATCACTTCCGTTGTTACCTGGATGTAACATAGAAATTGGCATGTCCGAATAGAGACGACACATTAGTGTAACAGTAAAAATATTAATTTCTACAGTTTGCATTGATTTCGTAGCGGGATAAATGTCGCGTTATCGTGACATCGATGATAACACAACATAATTCGATTAATGGAACGGAATCATAAATTCGATATTGCTGCGTTTCGTATAAAATAACACACACGCACGTACACGCACACGGAGAGATGATCGTTTACATTGAACGAAATATATAAAAAAAGAAAAAAAGAGTATTACAGATTTATAGAAACAAATCCGCGCACACATTTTCTCCTTCAATAAACATTGATAACATTTGAAATAATTTGATATGACATTTAACAAGTTTTTCTCTATACTTCAAAGGCCTTCATTCTCTTCCTCGCCTGCTGAATATATTTCTTTTTTTTCTTCGGACAATATTAGCAGCCGTCGTTTATTTATTTTTCTTTGTCCCGCGTTTCTTTCGTTCTCGCGTTTGCGCGCACATTATACGGTACAGTATCATTTTCGAGAAACGCGAGACAAAAGAGTGAGAAATCAACGTCTTTGAAAATGAGGAACGCGTCTTTGTTAGCTCGGCGTTGTGAAAAGGTTTCGTGAAACACGAATCCACCAATTGATAATTGGCTTTCGATCTAACGCCGTTCTCTCGAGTACGAGACATCTTCCTTCTCTCTCTCTCTCTCTCTCTCATCGAATAAATGCGATATATATTCGCAAACGAACTCCAAAAGCTCGTAGCTCGCGACGTATTTCTCCAACACGTTTCGATGCATCACTCGCTCTTATTAGTTATCGGCTGCTATCGATTCCCATCGCGAGGGGACCAACGAACGACTTTGCTATCCGCTACAAACAACACGCAACCATGAAATCCATGGGACCATATATCGGTGTTTATCTCTCGTCTCTCTTTTTCTTTTCCGGCGCGTAACGACAGCGTGTTTGTTGTATCTTCTGCCAACGGTTCCGCTAATGAATCTCTTTCACGAAAGGGGAACATTATTTGCAACGCCTAAGGTCATCCGTTATTACGAGATTGCGCGGGGAATAATGTTCCGTTTCATTGCCGACGCGGAAAGGGCTTAATCTGATGTGTATATTCGTCGTGTAATTCGTCTAGACTAAAAGAGGATATTATCCTCTGAAAATTATCCGGTCGGGTCATTTCGGTTTGACTATAATAGATCGTCCCGTAAACGAGGTACTTTTACCACTGGGAGGGAAATCACGAATTTTGCGCGATGGATTAGCATGCGGGGAAAATGGAACAAAATTATTCATAATTCTGCTTGGGGCGAGTCTGAGAATCGGATCTTGATTTATTCCATATTTGCTTCTACGTCTTTTTCTTCCTTCTTCCCCTCCTCCTCTTCCTCCTCTTTTCCGTTTGTCGTAAAATCAATTGTAATACTGACAAATGTAATTCGAAAATAATTTCTACAAATGAGAGACTATTGATGGACAATCTTTACAAGTAGAGAAATAAAATTGGGATATATACGCGCGGTGGAGATACATGCCCACCGGTAATGTCGTCCGGGTACGATCGTAGATAACGTAAAGAAATTAACGTTCAACGGATGAAAAAATGCCAGGCAGAAATAAAATCCACGACCGCGACAATTTATCGAATTGTCCCATGGGGGCGCGCGTGTGCGCCTGACTCGAATAAATAAAAATCTAACGTCCGCCGGTGAATCCTTACACCGGCGTTCGTGCGACTCACGCGCGAGAGCGATTTTGTTGAAGACGACGAAAAGTCAATCGCACACGGAAGGCAACGATTCATTGCGGCGGTCTGCTCGCGTGGCGCGCTAATTGCGGCGATTTGGCCCGGGAGTGCCGGGCATACGGCGGTTTAGGCGAGCTCTAATTTATCACGGTGACGCGATCCGCGTGATTTTTTATTTCGCTCGTAATATATTCTTTTCGGACTCCAGTGAAAATTGATGCGGGAATATCGAGCTCGGCTCAGTAATAAATGCGGGCGCGAACGCGACAATTCGATTATCGGGCGCCCGTGCGGGCGCGCGCCTGGAATCGAGAATACCGGCCAATACTTTGTTCTTTTTCCTCACTTCGGTTCTTCGACGGTCGTTTGATATTTCGGCGAATGTTAATTGCGCGCCGAGAGCGGCTCGAGAGCGGGCTCTCTTTGCGAGATTTGACCGAACGATTCATTACCGGCCGAAAAGTATTTCCGATCGGAATGCGCGTTCGACGAATTCAAAGAGAATGGCGGGACGCGCGAATATTTTCTTGATTCCAAGAGAACCTCGCGGAGCAACTGTTTCCGGAACGGGTTTCGCGGTTATTCTTTTTTTTTCCGAGGACAAAGTACACGTTTCTGGAATGTAATTTGCATTAATCTCGAGCGTGGGAGAAAGAAGTTGCGTAGACGAGATTTTTTAAATATTCAACTGCATGAATGTGAATCGCGAAGCAAGACTGCCCCTTTTACATCACGGAGATCCTACGTCTCGTATTGTATCGTTAATTATGTTAATCACTACGCACGCTTTCATCTCGCTGCCTCGTATAATCCCGCGACGAAGTCGTCTATATATTTCGCGAGTCGACAAAAACACGACGCTAACTTTCGTATTATTCCACACGTAATTAGAGAGAGTATTTAATTATTTTACCTTCTGCGAGCACTCAATGCAATATCTCTCTCGATCCACGTATATAAAACTAACTTGTTACTTACGTTCGTTATTCCGCGCGCAATTCGTAATTCGCGATGAACATTTTTTTCAATAAAACCCAATGAGGGTATAATATGCTTCCCAATGGCAATTAAAACTTTTTTAATAAATAAAAACGCTGTTAGCTCCGAACGCGCATTGTGCCTGAAAAAGTAATGATTATTATCGTCAAAGATATTATTTCTGATGTGCAACGGTATTTCACGCGGTGAATGAAACGTATTTCAAATTGAACATTTCTAACAAGCTCTTGAGAAACGGATCACTTGCAGATGACTGTAATTATCGATCGTTCCCCATTAAACATCGTCCATCTTCATTACCGCAGGGTTAATAAGTATTCGACTGTAAGTAGGCGGATGTATAGATCCCGGAATCGTACGATTAGCGTTGTGAAGCCATGGCTCTGACAATGACGAGGATCAACAGCGCTGCGGACACGCTTTCCCACTCACGTTTCCCTATCGCGAAAATGTATCTGTGCGCGCGCGCGTGGACAATCGTTGTGCGTTATTTTGGGCTCGACAACCGGACTGTACGCGCCGCTGCCGATTGGTCGCGGGTGGTAGCTAGTAAGTAGCGCGCAAAATTAAAAAGAAACGCCGGGGAAACATAGAGAGAGAGAGCGTGCCGGCCGAGCGAAGCAAATATTTGTTGCGCACCGGGCGTGCCGAGTGTCCTCGACGAGCGGCGGCGTCCTCGTCGGGAACACACGCCCATCAGCCAGGGCGTTATAAAAGTTCGCAACGACGCAATTAGTAGACGCTGGCAGTAGCGAGCAAATAAATTTCACCTCTTTTTCCTTTTCTTGTTCGCGCGCGAAGTCGGCGCGCCACGAACGGCTGGAGCGGTAAAGGGAGAGGGCCGGGGAGAAACAGAATCAATTCAAAGAAACGTCTTCGATTCGCGAACTAGCGCGAGTAACGTGTGCCGGGCTTAGAAAGGGAGGCAATCAGTGCCGGCGCTTTTCTTACAGCGGATAGCAAAAGGCTCGTCGGTCTCTTCGACGCTAGACTTGGGTGACCTGGGTCATCGTGTGATTGGTCCCGGTGTTCCCGTTGTTCTCCATTGATTGGTGCGGCAGCGGCATCCACCTGCCGATTAGTCGCCACAGTCGGCTGCAAAACAGCTGGTTGAACGTCGTCCGGAATTGCCGACTCATGGCGCAGTACAGGATGAAATTGATGGCCGAGTTTATGAGCGTCAGGATGTCTATCACGTCGCCTGTTAGGGAGCGGTAAAAAAAGATTAGTATGATTAACAAAAGTTTCCAGGTTATGAGGAGATGTTACGTGCCCGAGAAATTTCGCCGTCGTCGCCGTCGCCGAGACTCCGAGTCAGTCGAATCAAATTTTCAGCCCGTCCTTACCGAGGAATTGTGTACGCGGACACGGGTTTCATTTTCCGATCGGGTGGCGGAATCGTCGTCAACACTTTTGAGACTTTATTCACTTTCGCCCGGGAGCCCATAGGCGATAAATTTGAAAAGGGACGAGGGAAGGCGTCCGCGACTTTATCCGGAGTCGCCTAAAAAGTCTCTCACTCTCGGCAATCTTTCGCGCGCGCCAGAAGCCTCCCCTCCCGTCTCCCTCTGCGCAACAAAACGTCTTCTTCCGCGATTTTCTTTTCGGCGCGGTTCCTTTTTCTTCTCCTCCCTTTTCTACGCTCTTATTTGCATGCAACATTAAAGAATATTAAGAAACATTCGAGAAACCGCAGCTTGTTTTATTCCCCGCGAGTTTCGTCCAATAACTCTTGGTCTCGGCAATATGGCATAGAAAGATTAAAGAGATCGACGGTGACGAGAGCCTTGATTTCGGCCGACAAATGGCTGGCAACCGAACGTTTCCAACGTTTCCATCTTACGAAACGAGAGGCACTTTCATCCCCTTCCTGTGACGTTGCGGAATGTCATAAATAAAGCGACGTATTTTATAACACTTCATACGTCAGGCGTGCACCGCGGCGGGATACATTCCCAGCACGTTTCCGAGATTGAACGGAAGTTTTCACGTGCCGTCCCGAATTCTTCCACCCGGCGCGGCGAAACGTGCAAATTTCGGATACAGCGTAGCGTTTGTTAAATTATGATACCTTTATGATGAATTTCTCTCGTGCGTAACCTGGATATCATGGATGAGATTTCGTGATATCACGCGCTATGCGCGCGATACTTCAAATTCCCCTTTCTCTCTCTCTTCTCTCCATTTTTTTTAACCGCGAATTTACGCGGAAAACTGCACATGCACGTGCCACTCGAATTTTAATTGCGCGTAATCCTCGCATTACAATAATGCGCGACACATTTCATCGCGAATGTTACGTCTGAAAACACGAATGTGCGATGCGCCGATTATATCTTGATTCCCAGCCGACGGTGGATTTTATGTTTAAATGTGATTTAATTTTCGTGTTGTGCGCGCACATGTAGTGTGCGTGACCTGTCGCCGTGAAACATCAGCGGTTTTATAGCTCATGCAGTGACTTAACGTTTAGCTGTCGCAACACGGCTGTGTCGCGACACGATCGTTCAAATTAAAAGAATGCCTGGTTCTCCCATTTCGCGTCCCGTTTGATTCGCCTGACATTAGTCTTTTGGATTTTGACGTCATAAGATGAAAAAAAACGTGTGCATTCTCGAGCTCGTTCGTTCGTTCGCTCGCGAAATTCGCGCGTAAAGTGGCGCGGAGTACTTCCGGTTACCATTAAAGGACAAAAAACATGAATCCCGTGTTCGAAGAAAAATTTTTCTCTCGTGCTCTCTCTCTCTCTCTCTTCTCTCGTTTGCACATCGTCGTCGCGCCACGCGGCGTTGCGTCATGTTCCAACGTATACAGCTACGTGCTAACAAAATGAATCAGCATCGCCTGTCGTCGAGTCAATAGGACCTGATGCGATCCAATTTTCGTAACGACGCCGAAGTTGCTCTACGTAATGCCGTTTTACCTATTCGTGACATGGTATATAGCAGCCGTTACGCAGCATTCCCCGGGCAAATCGGTCGTTTGTTCCAGCGAGCAAAAAACTCTTTCTGGAAGCCGATGGGGTTATAATCGACTTTGCGCCGCGCGCCGGGAAACTCGCGAAGTTTCTCTCTCTCACTCTCTCTCTCTCTCTTTCTCTTTGTCTCTTGTTTGCCTCCCTTTCGGCCTTTCGGTTTCCTACGCGTCAAGTTTTGCGCAAATTATTAGGCAGACGGCGTAATCTGCTTCGTGCAATTTGCGCGGGGCGCACGCGGTCGTGAGACGCGGGTAATTCCGGGCAAATTGTGTGTCGTTCGCCTGGATGCGTTTCACGCGACGTTTAGCGCGAAGTTCCACGCGATTGTCGAGAAATAATACAGGGAGCCTTTTGTGATAGCGCACTTCGAATCGGGGTGAATGCCAAAGTGCCCGAAACTACTGCAAGCTTTCTTGCTAATTTCCACTCGCGTCGAGTATAATTCACGATGAAACTGTTACATGTCGCAAAAAGTAGGTATTGCTGTAAGTTGTAAGTTTGCAGTTGCACATAAACGTTGGCACGGACAATTTGTTGGGAATTATTCGCGGTTGCCCCGCTGAAATTATTACGGAGAAGCTTGCGGAAGACGGCCGCGATATGTCAGAGAGTTGTAGTAAATTTAGAGTTGCAATAATAATTAGAATTTGCAACAGCCGCTTGCTCGTATTACTCCGCTTTTAGGAGTGTTTGTTACCACGCCGCAATCTAGCATTGTTTGCACGTGCTATTCTACTATTAAGCACACAACGTTACGTTACGTGTTTATTTTGCAAAAAGCAACCATGTTATTGCAGTATAATGAGAGTGCCGCTGAGAGAGTGCGAGGGCAATAGATACAGAGAGAGAGAGAGAGAGAAAGCTAGTATGAAGCTAGTAATTCGATAAAAGCGAATGATATAATGCGAGTAGGCGTCAAGTAAGATCTCACGATACCGACATATCCGTTCCATTTGGCTCCATGTGATAAGTACGGTGCATTTCAGTATCGAACGTTGAATAAATACCCCGGAGGATCCTCGTAGCAGAACTCGGTAACATCGCCGTTGTTTTCAAAAGTGTGAAAGTAGGAGGGAACAGGACGGTGAGTATCCGTGTCAGGTCCAAATGCACGTACCGATGTCACGTGTTTATCTGCGACTTTACAGTGATCTGTCGCTTTAAAACAAAGGCAGCTGGCCATTCGCACTTTTATCTCCTTCTCTCCTTTTTCTTTTGTCGTATTTCGATGGTGAAATATTTGATCACTTGAAATATAGTTTTAAAATATTTAATTAATAATGCAGCTGAGAGAAACTGTTTAAATTACGTATAGACAATTTTCGTGATGAAAGCCGAAGATTATTTTTTTTGGTAACCTAGAACTTGTTCGTGTCTTCTCCTTCTTATCTTAAGACGAATATCTTCTCTCAGTGTCTACTCTTTGTAGGGCTTAAAGCATTCGCTTCTATTCTCCATAGAACTCCGTCTATTCATTGAAATCCGCCGGAGGGAGCGTAATTTAGTAATGGCATAAACAAACTAGCTACCGATCAAAGAAATCATTAAATAGCAACGATATCGTGTTTTATGCATATATATATATATATATATATAATTAGACGGCTTCGTGAGCTTTTAATGAGATTGTGTGCCACTTTCGAGAAAACTACGACGCTCTACAGCGCGTCCTCTCTCGTCGAGTTCCGACGTTCTTATGACTTCAAACGATTGTTCTTGTACGTGCAAAGAGAAAGACGGGCACGGAGTCCTTCCCTTCAATAGGATTCGCGAAACGCTTGGCAAGCGCGTTTCAAGTGATCCTCAATCAGCGTCGGTGCAAGTCGCAAGAACAAAACCCGGAACAGAGCACAGTGGCAGGACCGATGAGAGTGTCAATGCGGGATCTTTATCGTGAAATCTATCAACTTGCCCGTAAGTCCCCGTAATCAGGGAAAACAGTTTTCCCAGAATCGTTCCGATCAATCGGGCCGGAAAGATAAATCGTCCCTTTCTCCTTTCGTGCGCGAGTTTCTGCACTTTCGTAAAGTTCAATTCGGTGTCTCGATAGCTCGACGTAGAATGTGAGACATCAAGCGTGGAAATCCGACATCGTCTCGTTATAGCTGGGTTCACGTTGCAGCTGTTTGTTAAATGTTTCCATGTGGACGAGCGTGTATGTGCGTATGCGCGCACATTGCGTTTTGCTTGAATCCACCGCCAGCGTGACTTTGCAATTTGCCATTACAATTTACGGAGTGTACGAAGATTGTCGACCTAGTGGCCGCAGCCTTTCCTTCCCGATGGGATCCTCCGTTGAGCTCGTAAAAGAAACGGGCCGCTCGTTTGAACTTCCTTGTGATATTCAGCGTGCGGTGTTACGAAAGACATTTTGACAAACCGAAATAATCCAGATAGGAGTCCTGGGAGTCTTTCAAATATAATACAATTCGCGTAGATCAAAAGAGGTTATCCTTTTGAAAACCGTCTCGAGCCCGTAAATTTTTCTCACCGACAATTGTTATTAAATCTCGAATCAAGGAAACAATGTCTGGCATTCGAAGCGTTCCATTCAAGTTTGATGATGTATGTACGAAGTTAATGGAAAATAGTTTAGGCGATGGGTCATGCAAAATATATGAGTACACACAAAGTGGAAGTTCACATTTTACGTAGTCTATTCCTAGACTATCGTCTTTTCATTTCTGTATATTTTTCCCAGTATGCGCGATCCATTCCTTTTTTCTCCTCTTTTCTTTTCTTTTTTAGGAAAAATATCGAGACATTCTGCTCTGGCTAAAATGTTGGGAAAAGAAGTAAAATTACTGCTGCTATATCGCGTATTCACAAAACGTCCTAACTTCCGCGGAGATATAGATATTTTAATGCTATCACTTGAACCAAGTCATGTGCGCGTTATTAGCTAACTTAGAAAATATTTTTACGGCTCGAGTTTCTCGCGCAAAAATGACTGCACAAGAGGACTGTGGAACTTCCATAACCTTAAATTTAGGAGCGGTCCGAACATCTGCGGAAAATCGATATTCTTTCGGGTGCGCGTTTTTCATACAAAATTTACGACACAAAAAAGCTGTGAAGCCATCGCTACTAGAAATATCTTTCCTTTACGTAAACACATAGTAGAAAATTGTGTGTTAAATTTAACACATTTCATATATCCCAAACGGTTCACACAAATTTTTCTGTTAATTTAACAAAAGATGAATATGCCGAAAAATAATACA